GAGCACCAACAGTGTAAAGCAGGTGGCTATTCTCTGGACTCTAGTAAAATGGCTTTTCACTGGTCTGAAGAAAACGGATAACCACAGATGGTCATCTGTAAAATGTGTTCTCATGTTTTCAGAAAACACAATCTTGAAAGATTTTAAATTTGAAATACCACAGATCGGCATATTTCTATTCACACGACCTTCATCCACCGACAACCACTGATCACATAGGAAATCAAACCTAAAATTAAAAAAGCACTGATATATATGACCATTGTTCTGGACAGGTATGCAGTTCGGCGAATAGTTAAACTTAAACAGCAAACATGATAAACTGAAAACGGCAAACATTTAACCTCCACTCAACCATTAGATGAATTACATGGATTTATTTTTTTTTTAGAAAAAGGCCCATCGACTAGAATGTAGAAGGTTCGAATCCCCGTGTGAGGCCAGAAAAAACTAAGGACTTTTTTAGTTGGTTTCGCACTTGTAATTGGCGCGCACGTAACAGAATATGAAATTCGAATTAGGGTAGACAGAAACGCCACTATCCATATAACGTAAGCCCTAAAGCTCGTCGTATTGCACTTGTAACAATAGAATAAAAATTCACCAGCTCCTGGTTCGAAAAGTACTATCATAATTCTTACAATTTTACTTTGAAACCTATAATTAAAGCAAATCTGATCATTACAAGCTGTGTTAAATACCATAGTTTCTATAATATTTATTCAAGAAACAATGACACGCTTGAGGAAAATATTGCACTAGAACCAATCCTCTTTTTGTGTGGCATCCTGGCAATTTAATATAATACACATCTTCCTCTACCTCTCCATTGTTTGTATGTCATGGACTTCAACTCTGTTCAGATACCAAGACGCATCGGTTCCCTTTCAAGAATTATCATGCCAGATTTTCATTCATTGCAAAATACCCAGGCACCGTGATGTAGACATCAAGAAGTGCAGAACACTGCCAGACTTAAATTCCTTTAAATAAAAAATGTGTTAGTTTTAATAACTCAAATTAGATTAAATGTATGCTTGATAACGACCAGTGAATTCTTGTCGAAACGTCGTGTGTATATAATATAGTGATTGTTATCCATAGAACTGTGTTGTGTTATATTATGTTCAATCGCTAAATGCTATTCAAAGATTATAGATTAAATGACAATAAGAGTGGTGGTATGGAGGTACATTTCAAAAGTTTCGTACGTAGATTTTAAAAGAATTAAATTTAACGTTATATCTAGTTTTATTTAGGCAAATATACCAGTGAAAGTTTAGTAAAATTATTCATTTCAAACGATATATTAGAAATAAACATGGAAATACTCCCAAAACTTTTAATATATCGCAATTCCTGGCTATTATTACACAATGAATCATATATTTGTTCTATCAAACTCAATTTATAAACGATGTCCAAACTATTGGTTGGGAAGCTTTTCCGGGAAAATGAAACAACATATAAACATACCTTCCTAATACCATCTGACAAAACACGAATTCCCGTATCTCCCTGTTCACCAGCTAAATCAAAACTGATATTAGAAGTTGTCCCTCCTCCATGGACCAGCCCGGTATAAATAGACAGGATATAAAAATAATCTTCATCATTATAATTATCTTCCAGTAACGTTACCCCCCACTAAAATACAAAATAAAATTAAATTGGGACAATGTAATGATAGGCCTATAGAGTACACACCGATCCACAAATCCATAATCCATAACACAAACTGAAAAAATAGTACCGCCGACACGTGACGGACAAGTCAATAGCAAAATAATATACTATGCCTTAAACATGCCACATCTTAATTAACATTGTCCAAGTGACGACCATAAAAATATTTAATTTCAAAATGATGCTAGTGTACTAGGTTTTACCGATGTCCCCCTACAAACCATCTGATATATACTCTTCAAAAAAAAAAGTAGGGGATATTCAGAAACAATACAAAACTATGGAAATGCACTGCTGTTTTTATTAGAGGTAATCAGTGTATGTTAATAACAGGCCAATTGCATACACATGAAAATAAACAGTTTATATGGGCGGCTTATCTGACGGCCCCATTTCACCCGCGCAAAGAGATACACTGTCAAAAGTGAAACTGGACGTTTTTGATTTTTGTCGTGAAGGACCACACGATTTATGGTAGCAATACAAAATAATGGCACAACTAGCCAGATGCTGTTTCAGAAAATATTATTTAGAGATCAAATTAAATTCCTATTCTGTTTTTTAATATATATAACAAGCCCATATCTGTAAATAAAAACCCGTGAGGGGTCGTGGCTGAGTTACAGATACATTATGGAAGATTAGATAAAAAAAAACTGGCAGTTCTCACTATAATAGTTAAGAACTAGATACTGTAAAGGGAATTTGCTGAAAATTTCAGTCAAATCGATCCACTATGAACCGAGATTTTAGCGCTTGAATTTTCGGCCTAGCCTCGATCATCATTACTAAAGTCGATATGATAAAAACATAGCCTCAGTTATCCATTTCATGATTAAATTATGAATGGAAGTCGAACAGCAAATCGGAACCTAATCCAATAAACATCGCAGGCTAGCGATGCCAGCGAGAGTTGATTATGGTCTGGATAAGTTATTTTATGTCTAATTAATAATTTAGATATCGTGGCGAAAATATTCATTTCACTTTGATTCACTCACTCCGTTCGTTTGACACTTTCCCCTCTGGTCGGATAAACTAGTGATTTGGCGACAGACGGTAAGCTCCAGTTATCTCGACGATCAGTGCCTGAAATGCTGCCAGACGGTAAATCCCTTCAAAATTTCTAGCAGATGATTGTGACATATTTAGGCGGTAAACCCGTTCAAACTTTCTAGCGTATAATTGTGGCATATTTAGGTGATAAATCCCTTCAAAATCTTTAGCAGATGATTGTGACATATTTAGGCAGTAAACTCCTTCAAAATTTCTAGCAGATGACTGTGACATATTTAGGTGGTAAACCTCTTCAAAATGTGTAGAAGATGATCGTGACATATTTATTCGTAAATCCTTCAAAATTTCTAACAGATGATTGTATTAGGCAGCAAACCCCTACAAATTTTGTAGAAGATTTTTGTGGCTTATTTAGGCGGTAAATCCCTTCAAAAATTTCTAGCAGATGAGTATGGCATATTTGCGTTACGTCTAAATAACGTAAATACATGTATGTAATTTATATCCCATTTTTGTATTATATGTTTAATTTTTATCATATATATGTTCAAATATTTGTAGGTTAATTATAATTAAGATAGTAAGTTGGTGATGGCGACTGGGTATGAATATAACAGACGAAAAACGGACAATTATGTTCATTCGTTAATAAACCCAGTTCGAATAATTATTACTTCATTCGTTAATAAACCCAGTTCGAATAATTATTACTTCATTCGTTAATAAACACAGTTCAAATAATTATTTGTTTTAATTGTGATTTTAATATCTTTATTGTATTTTGACGTTCATTCGTTAATAAACCAAGTTCGTTAAAAATTATTACTTATGTTTCTTATAGATTAATTTTTCTGGAATAATAAAGTTTTAATATTGTGAGCTGCATTGTGCTTCGACGTGTTAGAGCTACGCATCCCGAGCATAAAGAAGTCCTAATATACGTAAGGTTAATGATCCCAAAAGTTACCTTATTACAATTATAGTTTGATATACCATAATACAAATCGAGTTTCAAGTACTATGAACAATGCAGTCTCAAAAATTGTATACTGTTCCTTTTAAACATTTCCAATAAGAAAATGAATAATATTAATAATCGACTGTCGAAAACAATACCGTAATTTCCCAGGCGAATTTGTACACGTCATATTATTATGAAAACAATGAATAGAGATTCAAACTTGAGAAAGAATTCTAAGAAATATATACATCTTCCATGTTCATGCGCTCAGTTCAGGCCTTGGAGCTTAAACGTGCCACATCTATATGATATAATGTTAGATTAGTTGAACACTGCAAATGGTAATTGTGTAGATTGTCTTAACGACATCATGGCTCGGGTAGCCGTTATATTTCTCTTCTTATGGCTAATGTCCAGTAAGTATTGACAGGCTATGCGCCTAGCTACCCATTTAAGAAACATTTTTCGGGTAGATTTATTTTGCAATTTAGAAGGTCCGCGTATTTTTCTTGGGATATACTTACATTTGTTACATCAAAATACACCGTTCTTCGTATTGTATCTGAAACACATATTGCTTTAGAGTAAACTAAATTAAAATTAAATTGCACACTCCGAAGATATATAATTTTGAGATTTGACTTTGCGGATTAACTTGGATGCATTCTTTTGCTATTTAAAGTCATTTTGTGTCATTTTTGGGACAATGTCTAATTTTTCGGGAAAATCCTTAATCCGGCAATGCTAAGACTCTGCACCAATAAAACGTATATATAGGCAAGTTTCATCATCTGGGAGTTCAGCCATTTAGGTAAAACATAAATTAACCATTAGATGTCAGAACTACTCAGAACTAAAGTGGGCGTCGTTTTCGTCCATACCTCAGGACGCACACGCTTGTTTCGGAACCATGGTGGCTCAGTGAGTAACCTGGAGGTGAGGTCACGAGTTCGATCACAGTGTTGGCAGAGAAAGGGATTTTTCCAGACGTGTACACATTGGCATGCACGTAAAAGAAACCTTGAAGGTTGGAATTCAAAAATAGCAGGACGTTGAGCCCCTATCCGGGAAGATTTTCCCTCATAACACTGCATGGCGTATGCCCGTCCTCATTAGCCCAGTCTGAGGAGAACTGTAGGACGTTAAATCCAGTTTTATTTCATTTTGTACGCGCTTATTTGTTTAGTTTTATAGATAATAATTTTTGTCTTTTATGTTAATGAGTATTGTAGGAATATTGTAGTATGTACTTAAAGCATCGACAACGTACTCAACATTATTCGCTTTATTTGTGCAATTTATACAATGATATAAATATGTATTTGTATAAGTTATGCAAATTTACATATCTATTTGGTATAGAAAGTTATCTAAACTGTTATATTTGGTGTATTCATAGTTTCATAAATTGTTATACATTATATTTGTACAATTCAGTCTCTGAGAAGGTTTTTTAATTGTAATTTCTAGATTTAGTAGATGCTGTATCCGTGGATCTAGGTACCGTGACATTTAGCGACGACTTGAATCAAAATGGAGTAGCGAACATCGTCCCTAATCTCAAGTATGAGTTGTTTTTCATTGAATATGGTACCGGCAATAAAATTGGAATAATTGACGGAAGCTTTACTATTAATTCATTTGGGGTAGTGGCTACGGGTACCTTTGATTATGGTTTCATCAGATTGGGCGTTGAAAGAGAAGGTACCCGGATTGAGAGCAATATCTAATAATAAAACATTAATGTAGACCGCTATTTCTTTTATATTTTTAGTTCAAATAAACACTAGATCTACTAAATGAACACATTATTCCACGTTATTAGTACAGCCTATCAAATCACAATCACTCTTGAAGCTTAGATTCCGTACATACATGAGTATTCTTAAATATTTAATAATAAACCAGATTATGAGTAATTAAATCATTCAAATTTATTCTCTTTTTTGACAGGGGGGCGGGGGTAGTATATAAATCTGATCTTTATTACTTATTACTCGATGCCCGAATGTCTCATTTCACGGCCTTAATTTTGTACAAAAAATAAAATTTAAAATAATCAATACTTAAAACATGTATCGAGGCATTATATCATTTCATTGAGATTTTGTCTCAATGATTACTTTCGACACCTTCAAAGAAGAATCACCCTTGTAGCCTTGAATCTATGAAATTGAGCAGATTTTTTTTTTAACTTTTATATCTAACGACAATCATTCTTGTTTTCTAAGTATCACATCAGTTAAACCTTGTTGGTCAGTTCTTGTATAACATTCCAGGCAAATATCACGTGATCTATTGTCGTAGTTGAAGCACAAATGGCGAATCTTAGATAATATGTTCCTTTCATTGTTGAAGGTACAATATGTATTCTACCATCATCGTTTATCAATTTTAATAACATTTCATTCTTCTCATTTGTACCCTGTAATATACAAAAAATATTTTAGACTGAATGCTGGATAGGACGACTCGGCATATAGACAATAAACACAGGCACTTGAAGGGATTAAAATAAAACTTCTTACTACTGCTTGGCTATATATTATAGTATATAAGAAGGTATTTCAGCCGCCATCTTTGTTTTCTCGTCTTCAAGGCATTTCATCTGCTAACATCTCGCAATACTCACTAGTTCTAACACTACCCGTTGTTTTTATTTCTTCGTAGGCTCGATCATTTACCGACCAAATTTCGAGTAACGGATAGGTTTATGAGGGACTGGGTGATACAGACTGCTACAAACTAAACTTATTTCCGGGCTGATGAAGACGAATTTCGGCAAGTGACAGCGCTTCACGTTTGATTTGTAATTAATAACGCTGTTAAATGGCCAATTTAATTACATCGGAAGCTGAATAATGATCAAATAAGGTCTCGTTGGCAATAAAAACGACGGGTAGTGTTAGAACTAGTGAGTATTGTGAGATGTTAGCAGACGTAATGCCTTGAAGACGTGAAAACAAAGATGGCGGCTGAAATACCTTCTTATATACTATAATATATAGTCAAGCAGTAGTAAGAAGTTTTATTTTAATCCCTTCAAGTGCCTGTGAAAATAAACTCTCGTCCTCTTGCTGTACTGCGATATCACACTATGTGGAAGCGGGTGTTAGCCCCGAACTAAACTAGTCTTTTCCACGCCTTTTTGAGAGTGACAACGTCTAGGCATGGCATGTCATTTGAATTTTTTAAAATATATTTTTGGTGATGGTGGGGGTGAGGGTGTTGTTGTTAATCCGCAATCCCACCCCTACAACCTTTCAGAATAAATTACCTTTAGTTTAAAACAAACAAGTGCCATCTTAACCTCTGACGTAACTTCAAACCTTGTGTCTGCTAGAACTAATTTTTCAAACTCTTTTGCTAAGTTGACATCCTGTAATTATAAACACATTTTATAAGATGATAGAAATACCTGTACAGTCACTTCCTGCTGCAGTGAGTATCTTTCAACCCATCGTTTATTTGAACTATTGCCTACCGTGTCTGCTGATTCATGCAATGGTTAGTAGACGTTCAGTAGATGCCTGTAGTGACGCCTATTTGTGAGCAAATGACAAAAATAATCTATGAGGTTTGAATAGTTCGGCAAAATGTTGTTTATTTTCTGGACTACTTTAGGTTTGAATTTAAATGAGTTATATATCGACTGTCTGCTGAAGGAATATATTATCTATAAATTAATTCCTATCTATATCCATGTAAACATGTTGAATCAAGCCTATATACAGGGGTATCATCGTATTATGTTGTCTGAATATTGTATCGGATATTCTTTTGTCAGCAAGTAATTTTAATAATATGTCACATCAATGTCAGAAAGAAAACCAGCGGTTGCCAGACAGGATACGCTCACATTTTGCAAGAGATCGATAGAGAACAAGCTAAAAAAGGGCGATTTTTCGTATAATCAAGGGCCATTAACTAGGAAGTTACGGTCTGAAATGCGCAAATATCGAAAGAGACTGAGATATTTGGGATATACAGAGATATATTTTAAGTTTCAAAACCTTGGTATTACTGTTATATAGTGATAAGTCTAGTTACATAAGTAGTTAATTGTGGTCTGAATCTTAGTTAAGCTTGAAAGAGTTACCTTCCTTTAACTGTCTTTGCCTTTGATTTATAAAAAGAATTATTGATGTTTCTACTTTGTATGAGTGATCTGCCCTTGGGAGAAGAGAATAAACATGTGGATCATAGAATGGTGTTTTCTTTATTGAGAGTTAAAGATTGAGAAATAGTGACACCCCCAGTGGGATTAAACCCACATAACATGGTGGAGACGCCAGATCTTTCCCTGAAGTAACTTTATAGTCATTGAATTTGAGTGGATGGCATGACTTTTCTTCGATTGAATTGGATTTGATTTTTATTTTGAGCCAGCCAAACTCGCCTGGTTTGAGTCAAGCCCAGCTTTAACTCTTCAGGCTGCTTAGGCCTATCACTGTGAATATTCGCATTGTCATTGTGTGAAAAGACAATTATTGTGCCTATTTGTGGTTGCAGTTTGACTTTGTTCAAGAACATTTTTATCAGTTTCATTGTGAAATTTTGGTGAGGTATCCTAATTCACCATAGGCCTAGTTCGTTTGTAGATTCCACTTCATTCAATTATTAGCCTAGATCTAGACATGAACACTGCCAAGAATCAGTTAGACCTAATTTAGCCTGTCATGCAGTAATATGATGATGAATAAACATTAAAGCAAAGATGCAGTAATATGAATGATGACGAATGAAAATGATTACAAACTTTTGTGTAGATGAGCTCAGATCAGATCTTATTTACAAGCTGAACAATTTCAACTTCCAGTTTTTAAAATCATTGAATGTGTGCTGTGTCCAGTGAGGTTTGATTCATTTTCAACTCTCTAGCGATTCCTGTTACATGTGCTGTTTCGAAAGGAGTGCAGTGACATTTTCATCCATTTTAGCTTTTATAACAACATTAGTTTTATATTCTGTGTTTTATAAAACTATTAATTTAATTTACAGAACTGTTAAGTAATATTTAGTCAATTTGTACAAAATTATATTGTCAACTTCTTGATATGTAATATTTGTTTTCTTGTAGGAATCAATTGCATGTTACTAATCAAAATTTCTTTTCAGGTTTATGTTTTATGATTTATGTGTAGGCCTATTCTTTTATTACCAGAAATTGATCAGTGTCAGTGTGTGTAAAGTCCTAGGTACCGTAACTTTAAATGTTATTTTTTGGCCTAATATTTCTCTTCTTATTATCTGCAATGGAGAAAATGATTGATCGGTTCGATGGGTCTGTTATTGATAGGGATACTGCAAGAGCCCACATTCTTAGCTTTGAGGATTACCTCAACCATCAAGATATTGCTATTGACGATGAAGAATTTGAGCACATATCACAACTATTTAAGCAATCGCTCAAGGGCAAGGCTCGTCTTTGGATAGAGGACATTGAATTTGATTCTTACGCTAGTTTGAAAGACCAGTTCATTGACAAGTATTCCTCAACTAAAACTAAACTTGGATTGTATAGCCAATATTCCAATATTCAATATGATTGTTCATTGTCACCTAGTGACAATTTAGATAAAATCAAGAAATTAGCCAATCAGCTAGGTTATAATTTGTCACAAGTTAGGGATAAATTTATATCTATTTTACCAACCAACTGTAAACAGGCTGTTATTATGGCAAGTTCAGATGACACAACTGTACAAGCACTTGCGTTTCAAGCTCAACGCTATTTTGATGTGGGTAGTAATTCATCACCAACTACAGCTGTTAAAGAGGTTTCCTTTAATTTGTCTGAGAATTTGTCCAGTTTACGATTGCAATCCCAGAATTCCCATAGTCCCCAAAGGAGAACCCCAGCACATTCTGATTCCAGCAGAGACACATCTCATTCACCTTTCCGGGTTCAACGACCTAAAAGTCCCTCAAATTCTAGGCTGCGCAATTCACAGTCACCCTTTAGAGATAACAGTCCAATACGTCAGTCGAGGCGTGTTATATTTTGCGATTATTGCCTCAATCCGGGTCACACATGGAGATCCTGTTTTGCTCGGCAAGATGATCTTATGAGTAGGCGTAGACATTTGTCACACTCTTTCAACCCTACTAGTTATCAGTCACCTTATACGTCAGATTTTCAGTCGCAGCCTTCTGCTGTTGACAGACAGGGTTTTCGACAACCTGGTGGATCATCTAGGCCACAACGCTCAGATCAACGCACACATAGTTCTCGCAAGGATTTTTGAATAGGGGAATATTTGATAATAATGCTCCACAAATATTCCCCCAACTCAATCATCTAGCCAAACATGTTTCAAAGGACATTAACTCTGATGTCATTCTTCAGTTAAGTCCCTTTAATTACTGTAAGGGTAGTTTATCAGATAGAAAATCTGTGCTTATTTTATTTGATAGTGGTGCTTCTAAATCACTTATTTCACAATCCGTTGTTAATTCTTCTCCTTATTTGTCAAGTTTACCTGTACATAAGTTAGAAAAATGTTTGGAATTTCGTATGGGTAATGGTCAAATGTTAAGTTGTTCAACTTTCATGTTTATACAAGTCTTTATTCAAGGTTATTCGTTTCGTTTAAAGGTTTATGTTGCCCCACATTTAGTGGGCATTGATCTTATTTTTGGTCAGGATACCTTATCAGAGTTACAAGGTTCCTTACATTTTGAGGATAATGTATTTCGGTGTAAGCCTAAAAGAGTCAACTTTTCCCCAACACACAATGTGTACATTAAGCCAGGTCATACACGCTATGTCGCCTTATATGGTCATGTCCCAGGTCTTTATAGGAATCGTGAGGTCCTTCTTCAGAAGAGATCAGATAACACATGTTCATCGTTTATACTCGCTACTTTACAGCGTAACAGAGCTGTTGTTCCCATATCAAACCCTGGTAGTAAAACTCTTCACCTTAGGCAATCTCATCCTTTGTTCTATTTCAACACAGGTACTGTTTTTGTGTGTGATTCCTCAGATTTTGTTCAACGTGCAGAACAATATTCCCACCTTAAGAAGGATGATCCTTTATTGCAGTTATCAGAAGATGAGATTTTACAACAGCAAATTAACTTGTATGATAATTGTATTTTGTCACCTAATGAGAAGAAAGATTTTCAAAGACAACTATCCCAAAGCAGAGAAGCATTCAGTCTTTATGGTGAGATTGGCCATTGTTCTAACATTGAAGTTGACATTAATGTTAATGACCCTCGTCCATTTTATATTCGCCCATATCATACCACTGAATCAGATAAAGAGGTTATCGATGCTGAACTTGATAAATTAGTAAAATTGGGTATTATCGCCGAGGGTCACCAATCGTACACCTCTCCTGTTTTAATTCTCCCTAAAAAGGGAACTACAGATAAACGTGTTGTAGTTGACTTTCGTCACTTAAATAAGCGCATTAAGAGGTATAACCATCCATTCCCTTTATTATCATCTACCTTGCAAAGAATTGGTCATGCTAAACCCACAGTTATCAGCTGCCTTGACCTTAAGTCTGCTTTCTTTTCTATGCCCCTTTCACAAAATGCTCAACAATACACGGGTATATCGTCCTATCACGGAGGTCGCCACTTTTACTTCAAGCGCTTAACACAAGGCTTAAGTGTATCCCCTGCTATTTTTCAAGCCGAAATTGATAGGATTCTCTCTCAAGTACCTGACAGCCGTCATTACTGTATTGCTCATCACGACGATATCATTGTATTTAGTAAGGATGTCCAGTCACACAGTAGTCACTTACAGGCTGTCTTTCAAGCACTTATTGATAATGGACTGAAGATTTCTCCTCGTAAATGTTCGTTCTTCAGAAATCAAGTTGTGTACATGGGTCATTTAATTAAGATTAATAACGAAGGACTTGTTACCCTCCAACCATTGGCAAATCGTTGCCAGGCAATTCAACATCTTGTTCGTCCTAAGTCTAGTAAAGAAGTTCGTAGGTTTATAGGAGCCGTTAACTATGTCTCAAACTTTCTGCCAAGGCTACAAGAAGTTATGCAGCCCCTTCATCAGATTTCTTCCAAGAGATCTAAATTTTCATGGACCGAAGAACATGAAAAGGCTTTTCAAGATGTAAAATATCTTCTTACTAACCCACCTGTTTTGTACCTCCCGACTGCAAATGGTCCCTTGAGTCTCTATAGCGATACATCTCGATCAGCTACTGGATCGTACATTACACAAATCATAAATGGCAAGGAGCGCATATTGGGTTATTATTCTAAGAAGTTACCTCCGGCATGTAAGAATTACAGTGTTACCGAGTTGGAAATGTTTGGTCTTCTCATAAACATCACAAATTTCCAGTACTTACTCAAAGGAGTTGAGTTTACTGCTTATGTTGACCACTCTGCAATAGTTCAACTTCTGTACTCCAAGAAAGAGCCTTGTTCTCAACGTCTCACTAAGTTAATTGTCAAACTATCCCAATATTCATTCAAAATCTTCTATAAAAAGGGAACTGAATTAGTCTTAGCAGATTTCCTGTTACTCAGTCAGCAAGTCGCCCGGTTACACGGCAATATGCAAAACAGAAGCAAATCGCCATTCCCGAACTCTTCCCCAAACCTTCCACACGCACTACTACCGTTAGTCAACCAACTTCTAGTACTTCAACTGAAATCCCTTTTTCCATTGTGTCTTCCAATAATATCTCTTCACAGTCAAGGAATTCTAGAACTCACCAGTCAAAATCTCAACAGAACTCTTCCATTCCCCTTCCCTATATACGCCAACCAAGCCAGAATGCTGTCCCACCTAAACCACCACCAGTTCTCGCCGACACACAAGTATCTTCCTCTAATGATTCTATACCTGAATCTCGTCTGGTCGATAAATCAGTAGACATTGATATAGATGGTGATACAGCCATTGATCTCTGTATTCCTCCCAAACCCCTCATCCACAATTGTGAACGGCTGGTCACTAATCATTTCCCAAGACAAGCTGAATTGGATAAGTTGTACAATGTTATTAAGCGTAAAATCATCAGAGACTATAATTTGACATTCGATCAAAATAAGCTTCGGCTTGAACAAGCGTCTTCTCCCCAATTTAAGCCTATCTATGATTATTTGTCTCACAATATATTGCCCAGTGATCGCAAAGCTGCGAAACGTCTCAAACTCCAAGCAGAAGAGTACATTTTAGCAGAGCATATTTTATTTCGTCTTCTCCTACCCAAGGATGATCGCTTTACTCTTCAACTTGTCATTCCTGAGTCAATGTGCACAAATTTGATACATCAGTATCATGATAGCCAGTTGTGTAATCATCAGGGAATAGTTCGGACTTATTTGACTATGCGAAAGCTCTTCTACTTTCCCAACATGTTTCAGAGGATCGCACAGTACATTAATACATGTTCTACTTGCCAGAAATTCAAACCCAAGACAGATAAAACCAGAACATTTCATCCTAGGATACCTGAAGAATACAATGTTTTTGACAAACTTAGTATTGATTTCAAAAGCATGCCTGCATCCATCTCTGGTTTTAAGCATCTTCTAGTTATATGTGATGAGATTACTCGCTTCATCATTTGCGTCCCAACTAAGTCAGTTGACGCCGAAACAGTGTGTGAAGCTTTAATCCAGAAAGTAGTCTGTCTCTTTGGTCCCCCATCTGTCATAGTAACAGATGCAGCTGCAAGTTTCATCGGAAAATTGGTTACCTCTCTTTGTACAACACTTGGTATTAGTCAAAAAGTAATTAGTGTTGCAAATCATGGTAGTCTTCTGGCAGAACGCCACATTAGATCAATCTCTGATTTTCTCAAGGAAAACTTAAATCAGTATGGAACTGATTGGGTCAGATATGTGTCTCCCTGTTGCTATGCTTACAATTCTTTTGTTTCACCACAGTTAGGTGACTTTTGCCCTTACGAGTTGGTATTTGGTAAGAAGCCCAAAAACCTTACCCATCTTCGTTGGCAATTCGATGGAGTTTGTCGTTCATATTTCGAGTATGTTTCCCATTTAAAGGACAAGTTTGATCATATTTCTAAGACTATGCTTGAATTACAAAGATGTCAACAGGAATCTCAGAATATCAGTATTGCACACACCCTCAGTAAGAATCCTATTTACGGATTGGGCCAGTTAGTTTATGTACTCAAACCGTCATCATCAAGCCTTACTTCAAATTCACGTAAAATCAAAGCTGATTGGTGTGGTCCTTTGGTTGTGCATCAAATTCTTGATCGAACCCATTACGTTCTCTCTACGTTGGATGGTAAGGTCCTACAGGACGTCTATTCGATTAATCGGTTAAAACCATGTTTTGTTAGGTCTCCTAATTTTGAGACAAAAATTACCCACATTGATCAACTTCAGAAAGAGTTAGGTAATATTCCTAACAATGACAATCTTAATGTTTTAACTGAAACTAATCAATGTTTCATTACGGATGAATGTGATGTTATCTTACCTATATTTGATGAGAGTGATATTGTTTCTAATAGGTCTACAAATCCTATTAATATTTGTCATTATCTCCCAAATAGTACAAATAATCATAATATTGCTTATGTAGATAAGTTATCACACTATCAGTTATCAGAACAATGTAAGATGTTACAGGAAATGTCTAATGTGTCTTCTATGGAACTGCATAAAGCTAGGTTCAAATGTGGTTCATTGCAAGTTTTGATAACTACCTCTAATGTCAAGAAAGGTCAAACTTCTTCCTGGATACCAGTTAACTCATCTCCTGTTTTGTTTAATGTAGCCAATGGACTTATCAATGATAATAAACTACAAGTAACTGGTAGCCTAAGGAAATATCAAACCTTGTTATAATAATTATTGTTTTACATTCATTTGGGGATTATAACATAAGTGTTATTCTAACATCTCTGAATCTTGTTTATTCATAGACCCACCTGTATAGCATATTTTAAAGCAATCTATTCTTGGTAATATATACTACACGCTTTTGGGGGTTTTGGAGCATTTGAATAAACCTATTCTGATTTGTTTACTCATTTTTTTATGATGTCTTTGATTTGTTCAAAGTTTCATGCCTTGTAATATATGTTACACATTAGTATTTTTAAGCACTTATACAAACATAGATGATATGTATTGTCAAACTAGTTTTTCCAAAAACTGTGTTTTTGACTTAGGAGGGAGGGATGTTATATAGTGATAAGTCTAGTTACATAAGTAGTTAATTGTGGTCTGAATCTTAGTTAAGCTTGAAAGAGTTACCTTCCTTTAACTGTCTTTGCCTTTGATTTATAAAAAGAATTATTGATGTTTCTACTTTGTATGAGTGATCTGCCCTTGGGAGAAGAGAATAAACATGTGGATCATAGAATGGTGTTTTCTTTATTGAGAGTTAGAGATTGAGAAATAGTGACACCCCCAGTGGGATTAAACCCACATAACATTACATACTTTTACATTATTTGCACACAAGGCGCAGCCATTTTGTTAGGCAGTTTCGTTCCAATTTTCACGAAATTCGAACTCAATCGTCATTGATATGTAACGGTAATACATTCAAACGTTTTTTTTAAAAATAGAATAAAAATTATGACCTCTAGCTAGAGGATCCACAAGCTAAAAGCCTGATTTTCCGTACAATCAGGGGCCATAATCCAGGAAGTTACGGTCGGACATGCGCAAATATCGAAAGGAACCAAGATCTTTGGATTATAAACATACATTTTAAGTTTCATCAAAATCGGATGAACGTTGTGACTTCTAGGGTGTCCACAACCTTGGTATTACATACTTTTACACTATTTGCGTACAAGGAGCGGCCATTTTGTTTGGCAGTTTAGGTCAGATTTTTACGAAATTCGAACTCAACCTTTATTGATATGTAACGGTGATATATTGAAACGTTTGTTAAAATTGAATACAAATTGTGACTTCTAGCGGGTCCACACGCTAAAAATGCGATTTTTCGAACAATCAGGGGTGGTCATAATCCAGGAAGTTACATTCGGATATGCACGATTATTGACAGGAACTGAGTTCTTTGTGATATAAACATAAATTTAAAGTTTCATTAAAATCGGATCAAAATTGTGGCCTCTAGTGTGTCCACAACCTTGGTATTACATAATTTTACACTATTATTTTGCATACAAGGAGCGGCCATTTTGTCCGGCAGTTTGGGTCTGATATTTACGAAATTCGAACACAACCTTCGTTGATATGTAACGGTGATATATTTAAACGTTTTGGTTTTTTTAAATTGAATACAAATTGTGACTTCTAGCGGGGTCACAAGCTAAAAATGCGATTTTTCGAACAATCAGTGGCCATAATCCAGGAAGTCACTTCGGATATGCGCCATTATCAAAAGGAACCGAGATCTTTGAGATATAAACATACATTTAAAGTTTCATCAAAATCGGATCAAAATTGTGACCTGTAAGTGTCCAAAAACAAATTGTGGACGGACGGACAGGGGCTACGGAATAATACGTTCACGTGAAAATATGGGCGTATAAAAACATTACCTTTACGATAGATTCTTGAAGTTTCCTTTGTCCAAATAATCTCAGAACAAACCAGAGCTTCAGAGACCGGAAACGTCGCCCCAATGGAATGTGCCAGTGCTAAAATAGAGTTAAACCTCACATGCAATTATGAAATATAAAACCGTCTACATATGAAAATAAACTCCTAATATAATACAATTAAAATGCGGGGTGTCATTGTATTTTAATAAATGGTAAAAATCCCCGGAAGTGGTCGGTGTGACGCATCACATAAAACGTGATTAAGGTATCAGGAACATATTGTTGTTCTTCCCATAGTGTGGCGTTTTGGACTATAGCTGATTACAAGCGATTATGCTCTTTTGGGTTGTTGGGGTTTTTTTGGGGTTTTTTTTTTACTTCAAACTATTTCATGAAATACCAGTACCCCATACAACCAAATCTAAAGAGGGTTGTGAGTGACCCCACCACAAATGACTAAAGGCATATTTAATAAAACTTACCCTGTAATCCGGCATAGCACCTTCATTTTCATGTTTTAGATAAAGAGGGTCAACTACAAAAGCTTCAGCTAATAAACGACTGTCTTTTACCCTGAATATATAAATCATTTTTAAAACTGAAATTATTATCGCAATAACATCAAATGATAAAAAAGATTAATGGAGAGACTTGTCGACCACTTGGCACACTGGCGTAACTTTGGGACTAAAATGGTATGATATCGCATTGTTTATACACGAGCTTGTAAAGTGGAAAATAGCTTTCAGAAGTCAAATCAAGCTATTTACGGACGAGGTTTTTTCTTCTTTTTTTTTAAATAACAAAATATGATTGGTTTATCGAAAAATCTGCACATGGAGGTGTCAATATTAAAAAATGAAAAAAATAATAAACGACCGTCCTTGATATTCTTTTTCACACAATAAAATCCAACGCAAGTTGATACAGCAAGTTCGCTTGGCAGGAGAAAAGAAAAGTCCGCCAAAAGGTGTTGATTGACAAGTGCGTTCCTTGTTTGATGAATCAATGGACCCTAATTGTTATCTTACACGTGACAATGTTAATGAAAAGCATTGCTTCGGGAATATGGACATCTCCAGAAACTATTAAACAATACTAACCAGAGAGTTGAACAATCAAAGTTGACTTGTAACCATTTATGAGGATTAAAATTAAACGACATTGCATACTGAAAAAAATGAAAAAAAAATGTAATGTATACATAATACTATAACCTATAAAGATTACGTATCCTATAACTTTTACTTTGAAGATTTAGAATTTCTCAATTTTAAAGATAGCCTGTGTCTCCAGGACATTCGAAATCTTTAACTTATAACAATAGATTGGAAAATTTTAATCTAATCCGAACTATGAATTGTATAATCTACCCTTTAAGAATTGTGTAATTCTTTAATTGACTATGAGCTTAGTATCATTTAATTATTCCTGGCTATACCTGAGTTGTGTGAATCGAATAGGTAAAATTATCATGCTCGATGGAACATAGTTTTAAGATTTCTACGTTGATTGTAAATCTCATATTATATTTTTTATATACTTTTTTTTAATCCGCTTTTGAATTTGGGACTATAATGTGGCCATTAATATTTCAATAATGTACAATATTAAATACAGTAAAAAGTGGGATATTTATTACATTACACAATTTTTGAAATGAGGGATTGTCAATGTTGTCCTTGATAAACGCAAAATCTGCACATGCATATGGCAAAGGAAAGGGCGAGGACGCCGCAGATGGGTTTTATTTGCCATGGAGCAAAAGGCCCAGCTGAACAAAGGGGTCCATACGATGCATAGTATTGTAATAAATAATGGTAAGATTGGTAACATTGGTAACATTGGTAACATTTATCTAGTATTCTAATCCTTTAATTAATGGTAAGATTGGTACCATTGGTACCATTGGTACCATTGGTAATATTTATCTAGTATTCTAATCCTTTAATTAATGGTAACATTGGTACCATTTATCTAGTATTCTAATCATTTAATTAATCGGTATTTGAATGAAATTATCCAGGATTTTGCCACCAGTAAATACGTTATTTGAATTTCAGAATACATGTAAGTAAGTTTTGTTTAATTTCAAAAGTTAAAAACATATTTAAGTGTTTGTTATCGTTATTATTGTCAATTCTGGCCCTGTTTCGGTGTCCTGTTTCCATAGCTCCTTATCGCAGTTATCCCACAATTATTATATAGTTTTCAGAATACGAAATTCTTCAAACCTCTACTCCATCTAACAGTGGTCTAAATTCAGGACAAATAAAAGAACTTCCAGCATAGGCAGCGTCTATATGCAACCATATACCTTCTCTTTCACCTGAAATGAAATAATTCTTTTTGTAGAAAATGCATTTTAAAGAATGTAACCTTGGCTCAGTGAGTAAGGGTTTGATCCCGGTTTTCGTCGAGAAAGTTCCTCGGGATTTTCCGGTTTGACAGAGGTACAGGACAGAGCTCCTGGCATGGGACAATATCTAGAGGTTTGACTGAGAAAAAAATGTCCTCTTATATATGATTCAGGAATGAGGGTGGGGAAAAAGATCACGGGACAGTTCAAAATCGAAATAAGAATAGACAGTATTGCAAAATTACTATCAGAGCACACTGCATGGCGTATGTCCGTCTGTATCAGCCCATTTAATTCCGTTTTAGATTCCAGATTTTGAACTGATCTCGTGTCTTATTCCGTCTGGATAATTCATTAATGGTACATGGGTAGAAAGATCGTTCAGTCCAAATCTGTTTCAGTTAGGGCAGTAAACGACGAAATTACAAATATCAGTGAGATCGGACGAGCTGTTAAATCGTTATTTGTGTTTACCGACATACAAAATCTGTAATGATGGAGAAAATGCAAATACTTACAAATGGGTCCTAATTCTTTTATATTATCAAAAGCACAACATCCTGTCGTACCAAGAGTAGCACAAACCTAAAATTAATCATAAATATTACATAAACCTAAAATTAATCATAAATATTACATAAACCTAAAATTAATCATAAATATTACATAAACCTAAAATAAATCATGGTTGCACAAACCTAAAATTAATCATACCAATTACACAAACCTAAAATCTAAAATTAATTATAACGGTTACACAAACCTGACATTAATCTTAGACATTACACAAAACTAAAATTAATGATAACGATTACACAAATCTAACATTATTCTTAGAGATTACACATACCTAAAATGAATTATAAAGATTACACAAACCTAAAATAAATCATAAAGGTTATAAAAACCTAAAATTAACCATGTCACTAAGTCAAAAGCAAACATTAGATCACGTCATTATCTAGATTAGATGATACATACATGGGTGGGGGGGGGGGGGTCATCGAGCTAAAAAATTGTATTGTACTTATATAATTAGGAAACCTAGACGATGTTATTACGGCCGCTGGTCATAGAGATTACCTTATGACAAACTTCTGAAACCTAGCTATAAGTAGAGGTTGGTGTCATCAATAATAAAGGGTATGGCCCACCCACGAACATCCGACAGAAAATGTAAAAATCTTACGAAAAATGGCACTAGTCCGTTAGCCTTGTCAGTTTTTATTGCTGTTTCTAATGCGGCACCACGGAAAGAACCCTTTTCATCTGATTCTAATATTCTTAATTTAACAGCACCGACTAATCCAGCCTTCTCTACTGAAGAATGAGCCTACAACAAAGAACACAAAAAAAACATTGATAATAATTAACAGTATACATATACGCATTTCCGAAAAGTAATCCGGTCTTCGCTACGGATAAATAGGTCTACAACAAAGACCACCAAGAACCCATAAAAAAAATGATAACTAACAGTGTACTTACTGGGATTTCCAAAAGGGGCAGATGTAGGGCATACATATCAAAAGGTCCTTTGAATGTACCGTAATGTAATATAGATTTGGCAAGAGAGATAAGGATCTTGCTATAGCGTCATAATTAACTTTAATCAAAATAGTAACTTGTATTTTTTATAACTGGATAAACCTTACCTGATCTGAGCAATAACAGACTAATTTAGACATAATAACACCGTCCTCCATGTTAGGATCGTCTCCCTTTATTTGGCGTATAAACTTAGTTCTAGCTCCCAATAAACAAGTTAATGTTACTTCACTAGCAGTAGACTGAAAAAATAATCAAAATATGCGGTTGTATCTAAATAATCTGTATGATCTATCAACTCGTCTCCAGTTAGCATTTTATTTGTTGATATGCTGAGCACAGAGATTTGTAATCTGAATGCTACATGTTCAAGGTCATTATTGACCGAACTTATAAAGAAATAGTTTCAAATAAAGCTGGGACTTGAATAAGCGCGAAACACTTTTATTTGAATGTAATTCATACGTTACCTGGATGACTCCACCACCGTGACCTTTTGAAGAGAAGAGAAATTCTGGAGGTAATGACACCATCTTTCCTAACCAATTCATCACAACAACCTCTAATTCTGTACACGATGGACTTGATGCCTGGAATATGCAATACACGACTATTATATTAATAAAATGTATCTATACATTTTCTAAGAAGTTTAAATGTTTCTTTACGTACTATCTTGTTTCGCCATTTTAGACCGGTTGTACGTGACAAGGAGTAGGGTCGCCTGTCCAACCTCGTGGGTTTTCTCCGTGTCCTCCGGTTTCCTCCCACTGCTAAAGACCCCTACGCGCAAACGAATTATTGAAATAAAATTAAACCATATGTTAGTCCCGAAATGACCTAGTTTGTGTCGAGTGGACGTTAAACCCCATTTCTATCTCTCTCTCTCTCTCTCTCTCTCTCTCTCTCTCTCTCTCTCTCTTTCGCCATTTTAGAACACTACACAAGAAATGTGCAATTTTAGAAATAACAAGGTGCCAATATATTGCCGAAAATGTTATGCAACCACAGAATGTACAATCAATATCCACCATTAAAATTTGGTTGGATTAATCACTGGGGCCTAATGGAGAACTCTCTTGGGATTCAGAAAATTAGGACCGTACATTTTGAAGTTGTCTCCCCTAAAAGAGCTATCGAATTTCGAAAATTGCAAATTTCGAATGCGTTCCTCATAAGGTAAAAAAATAAAGACCTTTCGATCGCAAATCAAAGAGTTTATGTTCCATTCGTTCCAAACATGGTGGGGTTTTTTTGGGGGGAGTTAACTTTTAAAAAGCATGTGGATGCGATACAGGAATTTCAAATAAAATAAGTTCGATTTTTGAAGACATCGATTTCAAAGCTAGCGGGTGGATTATGAGGTCTGACAAGCCTGCTATGTCTGTATTTCTCGTGCTTTATTTAATCATTTGAAGGAAAGAATACGGGCATAGCGACTACTAATTTTTATCAAATACAAATGAACCAGACTTTCTAAAATCTACTCGTCCAATTTCTGGTATCTTGTTGAGATTTCCATGTATATATGACAATAATGTTATAAACCAATAACATGTTTTCATTAGAGATCCTTTGAATTGAGGAGTTGGGGGGGGGGGGTCATTAGGTCTGTCATTAAGTCAACTGGCGAGGTTTCGATTCTCCGGTTGTACATGACAAGGTCCACTGCTAAAGACCCCTCCGCGCAAGAGAATTAATGAAATAAAGTTTAACCATGTTAGTCCCGAAATGACCTAGTTTGTGTCGACTGGACGTTAAATCCCATGTCTCCGCCCCCCTTTGAATTTGTAACGAAATGGAACTTAACTTGTCGTCGACATTCATGTCAGTTTGAGACTAACAAATATTCTATTTACTTTTGGTATGTCTGTAAGATTGGGTGAGTTTATTTTCAATTGAATACACGAGGTAGGGTATTATGAAAGAGGGGTGGCGGCTTTCATTTCTACATTTCAGGGTTATTTTATTGCTATACTTTTAAAGGATCTGTAGAAAGTAGCATAGGGTATTTACTTTCTACATTTGCATAGGATATAAAGACAGTAGTATGGGGTATTTCATTTCTATATTTGCATAGGGCATATATAGGTGAAGACCCCAAAAAAGACCTCTTGATAAAAGGTGAAATTCAATGTAGGTATTCCGGGTTTTTTTTAGGGTTCTGTTATAGCAGGAATATAACAAATGTATACATGTCAACCCTACGGGAGTACCTATAAATTGTGTTTGAAAATGTTTGCGAAGATTTGTTTCGCTAAAAGCCTGGATTCAATTGAAGAATCCTGTTCCCTTGCTATTTATGGACTGACATTTCAAAGAAAATATCATCATGTAAAATTTCTTACCCATGAAAATCCTATACATCCTATAGCATCACTCAACATATCACCCAGTATACCAGGAAAAGAATTTCCTGTCGGAAAATATGCGTGAAAATGTGGGCTGTGCCAATGTGTTGTCTGAAACAAAAATTAAAAACAAATATAGCTTTAAAAGTTGTAATTGACATGTATTATTCAATTTAAACTTCAAATATGTACTGCAGATAACCTTGACAGAAAAAACGGGGTTAAGCAAAAAGATGACAATGCATAATGTCATATACTCCCTTTACTAAACCAACTTATTCATATTATTAAGTAATAGTGGTCTGACGCCTTCTTGAGTTCTTTGTGTTAATAGAGTTACTTCCCTTGATTAATAAAAGGCTTTGATCTTAGATGGAATTCTGGGATGGAGTGAAATGGAAGATGGCTGTTTTTAATTAGCTCTTCTGATTGTCATAAACAATCCAGGCCATCTTGTGGCCTATACACCCCAATACCACAATAATATTATGTCTCATGTCAATCACGATAACTTGATAATAATGTGCTTTTAAAAAGCTTTCAACAACACTTAATGGAATAATGAAATCGGGTTTAGAGTCCTACTTTTCTGCACCGATTGAGCTAATAAGGACGTTCATACGCCATGCAGTGTCTGGTGAGGGACTATTTGCCCATACAGCAATTGACAAGGTGTAGCCTACACGCGGGACCTCAGTTTTTCGTCCCACCAAAAAGACGGAAACCACCCTGGACATTACCGGGATCGAAACCCGGACCGGCTGGTCAGGTAGCCTGATTCTTATTCACTGAGCCACAACGCCTCTCATACTCTAGGTTATGACTTAATATTGTCTGAAATAGAGGTAACGTTGTTGGTAGATTACCCCTTTCATTATAATTGGTTCAATATCCTTCATCAGATCTTCCCAGGAATCGGGTTCTATTGGTGCCTCGTTTCTAACTAGTTCCTTGATATAGCCTGGTTCCACGTCTGCCAGTGGTCGTCTTTTGTCAATGGAACTCAAATAATCAGCTATATAGTCCACCATTTCTTTACCTTTCTTTCTGAACTCCTCCGCGTCCATTTTGATTCAACCTGAAATATTGAATCAAAGATTATTTAACCTAGTGTTTTGACACCACATCCGGCACGTGACATAATACAGTGGAGTCGAGATATCATGATTGTGTGGAGGTGAGGGCACAGTCTTGCTTTCTTACCGATATGCCAAATAAAACTTTCTAGCTCTTTGAATCTTGATATATACAAATATACTACTATGTTTTTATATAATAAAGGACATGTTGATTAATATGCCTTGTGAGATTTTATAAAATTTTATATAATATAATATATTGACAAATCTGTAGTAAGCTAATAATGCATATATGCAACAGGTCAAGCCAAGTTAGTATATAAAAGCACATTGTACATGTATGTTTAGATTTATAAACGACTAGCCGAGCCGAGCGATACGAAACAATTTTCTTAAAACGGTTAAATTTTAATTTTCCAAATGATCATTCCACGCCCCGGGTTGTTTTTGAATCTTAAATAAAAATCCCTCAAACCCGAAATAAAATCCACTATTCCGACAGTCCAGATTAGTTAAGTAAGCGTAGTATTACGAGGACCCTAAATAAGAATAAATAAATGAAGAATATGCCATTATAGAGAATTGACAAATAAACTGATGTGGATAATATCGTAAACAGTATTAATCCCGAGAAGTGTTGGTTTCTTTTTATTATTATTATTTTATTGTAGTGAAGGTATATCAATAAAGTTGCACCCTCCACCCCATCCCACCCCACCCCACCCCACCCCCTGTGTATCCGTCCCGGTGGTATTTCAGCATGGTATTTACATCTAGTAGGTTGATGGTGTCATTTATTTATTTATTTATTAAATACCGATGAGGTTACTTATCTGGTTGACCCGAACAAAGAGCACTACATCCTTCAGAAATTAAAGAGATCGATCGAGTAGAGATTATAGACAAACTGACTTTGTCTTTTAAAGTATAAAAGACAAAATGATATTATATTTATTTTAACGATTATGATACACTTGTTTTTTTTATATATATTATACGTTTGTAAAAAAGCACAAATATATAAATTTTGTGCTTTTTTACAAACGTATAGCCTATGTTGAGATATGGTGCTATGACAAGAACAGTTGTTTATTCATAACAAAACACAACACAAGGTACATATGGATATAACTACTTCTCTATTATTTAATAACGACGTTTCGTAACACATACAGGTCACGTTTTCAAGTTAATGATAAATATCCATCTAGTCAGCCTATTTATAAATATGTTAGCTTACACCAACTTAATTAATAATCAAACAGTTGTTTGACGACGGTGTATAATCGGATGCTGTTTATCTCTGTGAAAGAACTTACGACAAACTTGTCCATTTCTGTGATTCAATTAAACTATGTCCTATAAATAACACAAGGTACAATTTATGGATACACAATAAATTACTGTGTTTAATACTAAGCGACGTTTCGACGAGTAAACTCTCGTATTTATTAAGCAAATGATAAAGACGAGGGTATCCTCGTCGAAACGTCGCTTATAGTATTAAACTCAGTAATATCCATAAAATTGTACCTTGTGTTAATATGTTCAATTACTAAATGTCAATCAAAAAAGATATGTCCTGTAAATAGTCTTGTATATATAATTCGAACTATTGGATCTTAAAAATAGAACCGATCATTCCAGTAAAAGGTATACAAGGAAAGGGGCATTGCAAACGATATAGAGAATATGATATATTTTGCATTTTCTTTTTATTGAAAGTGAGCTTTCTTAAAAGTCAAATATAGCTTTGAAACAATTTCCTGAACTGCGTTCATATCCTTTTTTCTCTACGAATGTCATTTATTGTTTTATTAGAAAGATATCCACTAAAGACAAACCATCAAACATAGCTGCTAAAAGTAGAACTATGGCCTTTTCCAACAGTTAACATAAAGTGTAATTAAAAGTTGAATTGATTCAATATAATTATTTGTTTCACATATTAAAACACAGAAAATAATTTATGTATAGGCCCGATGCATTCGTTGAACGTGCATGTACCTGCCATATTGGCCCTATAACAAACAAGCCATTATTTTTGGACACGCCACGTGGCATTAATTGTGATGGGTGATATGTTTATATTTGTTATGCTTTCTTACAATGATTACCATATACGCATATTTTAGAACTCCAAGCAAGATCGCAAATTTAGATAGCTAGCGGCAAGGTAAAAGATAATTAAATCATAAAATTTTTGTAAACAGATAAATAAATAAGTCAATAATGGAACATTCCAACAATTTAGGAATGCAAAAACGTAAACTTTCAGCGACCTTTGGTAAAGGTAAATACTTTATTAAAAGTATAAATATGTGGGGAAAAAATATCGAATTAATTTAACAGAAAGGGTTGGTTCGAAGATATTGACTCAGGAGAATTCAGATTTCTGCAACAGGTAAATTTCAGTTTAGCATCATGTATATTATTATTTTTTTTCGTAAAAATTATTAATTTTGTGATTCGTAACTTTTCCATTCCATTATCACAAATCGCATTTTGTTTCAATTTAAGTTAAATTCATAACATCGAGGTAAAGTCCAGAATATTCTGTCATACATCAATATTATCGTTTAATTTGAACAATAATTTTCCTTGAATATATCATTTATTATTAACAATGAAAAGAGACAATTAAGTAGTTTACCTTGTCCTATACCTGTTTTCCCATTTTTATATCAATCTAAAGTGGTTTTGGAATTTTCATTTTATTTCCATCTACATGTATAAGTGTAAACTATAGCTTGCTTTAATTTCATCATATTATGGCAGAATTATTATAACTTTCCATCATCTCTTTAGGGAACTGTTGAGATTGCAATATACAGTGTAATAGATATATAATTCCAAACGATAATTTCAGAGAAGTAAAGATGGCTACCATTTGCAATACAATCCTTTTCATCGTGGCTATTATTTCTGTTATTCAGGGTAAGATCGTTTTGAATTATTTTGTTAAACCATATCTGCTTATTAAGAAACAAAGTTGATAGGTGTGCAGATTATTTCAGCCCGTGTCAGCTGAATTCAGCCGATAACTGTAACAATACTGAGGTTGTTAAAGTAATTTTGCAATGCATCATAATCCGCTTGCTCATAATGGTTTGATTTGGTTTGGCTCCTTGTCCATGAAACTCTAGTGAAATAGCTTGCTCAATTAAATCATCTACTGAACTTATTTATCATGCTGTGGTTCACTTTGTTTCATTGTTTTATGAACTACTCAACTTGAGTGGCTTTTAACAGGCCAAGGTCTATTGGGTACTTTATTGTATACTAGTATGAGTAATGCCATTCCACACGCAAACATATCAAGGATAAGGTAGCTTTTCTGTTACCAAAAGGGGCACCGAATTGATCATATATTAGATTCTGCTTTTGACTCCCCTTATACATATTAACGGAAATTGCGCATAATACGGCAGTACAATGTTGATGTGACATTTTGGCTTGAAACGCATGCCTATCACTAAGAATTAAGCACCTGGTCGAATTTCCCTTATTTAGATACGTTACCCAGTTGACCAATTGTGAGGCTCATTATTTGGGGCAGCATCTCCAAGTTATTCCATTGTATTCCATATTGGCGTTAGGTTACGGAATCCACTCCCTTTACTTTATGAAAGAGGTTAAAACGGATTAGAACCACTCATATTTCAATATGGCAGTAGGATTCGTCAACCATTGCATACACTGATACATTGTGTAATCTGGGATTAATGTAGTAATTTACTATTTTTTTTTTTTTCATTTTATCAGCTGACGACTTCTATGGTTACCCAAATAGCTTCTACAATTTCAATTACAATCCCAACTTTGGGTTCAATCCTTATTTTAATCCCTACCAACAAAACTATGGCTCATTCAATCCGTTCTTCAACAATTTCAACCCATATTATGGGTATTACGATTAGTATTGTATCTGAGATTATTATCCACTGTAATTCACAAACTATTGTATTTGATTTTAATGTCAATTTTATGTATTTAAACTTTATACTTTTCCTTTCTTTTATTCACAATAAAATAAAATCGTTATAATATACGGTCTGTGGGTTATAATTAATATTGTCTGCACCCCATCATGTATATGCTAATGAATATTAATTACTACATCTTCAACCCCGTCACTATCAAATATTGAACATATTGAATTAAATAATTATCAAAGATGAAAACCGGGTCGGAGGGGCGGGGCATATGTCGCGGGTCCCGCAAATTTAAGGTTGAGTACAAGATCAAAAGTTCCATTGGATGACCGAGATATTCTAATTTAGATTTGGAAATATCAAGGTCGTGTCCACAATCACGGGCCCCGTTTTAACTCCTTACTGTCACCTTCGATCAACACCCTTCCCCCCCCCCTCCCTTCCCGCAAAAAAAGTTGCCGACCATAGTTCTAAAATACCTATACTGTAATAGACAGCAGTCAGGTATCACCATGTGAAGTATTGATTTTGGGAGTTATTATACATTACATATTATTGGTTATGCTCTGACATCTATCTGCGATATATTATGTACTGACTTGCCCAATGGCCCACTGTCGTGTGGGCCTCTGTCTTGTCACTATGTTCATTGGTCAGAGTTGGCTAGAGAACGATTTTCTGGGTTGGAAAACACGTTTGCAGTCGTCCAATTTTCTGGGGTGAGAGAACCCCCTGCCCCCCCCCCCCGCCAACCAAAAAAAAGTTCTCTGCCCCTCCGCAGCCAGCAGGGTGGCTACGGGCCTGTCTTTGATAAGACCCCTTTTACACCAAAAAGGACTACGTGGGTAATTTTGACTTTGGTTTGAACACCGCTGGTAGACATCTGTATGTTTGCAGTGCCACCAGTTCGTCAGAACATGTGAGATTATTCATACATTAATGCGGATACAATAGGTTTTGAGATTTCCAAAATGATTAATATTGTGTTACTGGCCCAGAATATACCTCAGAATGCATCAAATCAAATCTATTTTCAACATTTTCTGGAGAAGGACGCCCACACCTACCGCCGGGTTGCGGGTCGCCACAGTAGCCCTTACAGTTCTTTCTTAATTATGCCGCCACCGCCACCCCTTGACTTGCCCCCCCCCCCCTTATTCCCCGGTACCCACCTACAAGGTTAATCCGGCCCTGTCGACGATAGATCAAATCTAGACCAAAACGTATGTAATGACTTAGTAAGCACGAATTTAAATACAAGGCACTCAGTAGAATAGTAATAATAATGAAATAGGGTTTAACAGGTTATAGTCGTTCGGTTGGTACAACAAAAAGCAAGGTTCACCAATGTACACATTTGTTGGGTACCAGTTAGAATCGATGCCATTGTCTGTGCAAATACCGAACGACATATTAAACCCGGTTCCTTTTCGTTCTTAGTCTGAGTTATGGTTACTTAACGAGAAAGCCATGTTTTTGCATGTTTTTAAAAGTTTGGAGGTTCCAAGTTGTTTTTTAAAATAATGTTTACACAGCCCAAAAGAATGGGCAACATATTCTTACTCTCTGCTTTCCGCCATTAAAAGGGTTTGGAAAAGAGTCAGACATATCCTAATTGGGGGTGGATAGCGTCATAAAGATAATAATAAACCCCTCATTTACATACATAAATGTGTGCCTATATCAAATCCAACCTTATTCTAACATCTACAAATTATAGTATTATATCTTACCACAACAATAAATATATCCAAATTCCCACTGGCGTAAGAGATAATCCAAGTGGTATTAATACTGTCCTCCCCTCTGTTATAGAACTATGATATCAAAGTCAAAGATGAAACAGCTATGTAACGAAATGATGGTTAGAACATGAATAAAGATTGGAACATATCGATTCCAGCCGTTATTTATATTGCCTATTCTTCAGACCACTATACGCTAATGCATATTTGATGTCATTCGATTTAGCTATTGTTTGTCCCTCAATTTCGTGATCTGCCATTTAGTGTACATTACAAATCTTTATTGACACTTTTGGTGGTTAATTATCGCCTGAGAATGATCTCCCTTCCCAAATTGTCACGTAATAAAGACACCGTTGATATTTGTACTCATTCATTAACAAACATCCTTCATTAATGATCCAAATTATTTAGTACATTTGTCATTGATTGGATATTTCTATCAGATTAGCTACAAGAATTCGTACAAATACAAAGAGATGGAGCGGATGTTAAACCGCACTTAGCCAAACGTTCCAATGTTAGATATCTTACGGCAAGCGCTTTCTTGGTTAGACCTGAGATTAAGCATTGTATTTACACCTTGTTTGCCTTTAATTACCACTGATTTTAAAGGATGGGTGGCTCTATTGTTTAATCATAAATGGGCCTTAGGCACATATGAATGTGATATAAGTGTATATAAAGTGATTTATTTCTAATCAAGTAAGTTCGATGAAATACGTGAACAGTCCAAGCTGAACGACAGCCGTTTACGCCATTACTATATACTGTCGCATTGTAATTTAGGATATGTTCTTCTTTGTTCATAGATTGTGCGCCCGAAACGATATGGTACACGACTTGTGTACCATATTTAAAAAAGTTCATTGTGTCTTAAATATTGTGGGTAAGACGCTGGCTCGCTAGCCTGGAGATCGGGTGTCCGGTTTCCTCCCACTGCTAAAGACCCCTACGCGCAAGCGAATTATTGAAATAAAATTAAACCATATGTTAGTCCCGAAATGACAGAGTTTGTGTCGAGTGGACGTTAAACCCCCTCTCTCTCTCTCTCTCTCTCTCTCTCTCTCTCTATTGATAGATGACAACATCGACAAAGGAATCCCCCAGTAGGGATTAACCGGCAGGTTTCGTCAATGAGGACAAATCTTCTGAACGTGAAATTTAATGTAGGCAGGGCCTGATTAAACTCGCACGAGGCTCTTGCCTGAAATGTCACTGGGGCCCTTATGAAAGTGCAGAGATAACTCAAAAATCTGTAAACGGTTCAATCTCCACTATGATCCGAAGGTAGTATAATGTTAACAAAGAAAGGTTAAAATTTAACGTAACGTAATATGACATATTTATTTATGGTACAAAGTTTTTTTTATAACTAATTTGAGGTCCCCTTTCTCTTAATCTGGTCCTGAAGGTGTGTTATTGCCTTGGGAATCATCAATAAAGGAATACACACCGTTATGTTTTGCCGATCGGAACACTTCTTCTGAAAACGCGTGCGCTTTAGCCCATAAGGTCTGTTATTGAATCAAGTGACGTGGTTTTGCACGTGACAAGTAGGATTGCCTGCCCAACCACTGCCATGTATCTGGTATGTTAATCTATGTTGTTTAGATTTCGCTGCATTAGAATTTAACAAATTCGTTATATTTTATTGATAAAGTAAAGTCTACAGAGTATTACGACATTTAAATCTCACAATCATTGCAATACAAACTAAAATGAAGGCGTATAATATCGTATTTAATAATGGAGCAATATTTGATATTGATTTCTACATTAGAATAATTGACATTTCTATAGTAGTCAAATATTGTTCATGGTATAGTTATTGCTAAACATAGTTGTATTCTCAGTTGGAAAACTAATCGATTAATCAAACACAGTCTTGATTTATCGCCATTTATCACGTTTGGATGAAATCCAATGAACATCAAAATATGAAAAATATATTGACAAATTTAACGGTAAAGACGATAGCAGCTGCTTTTCTGGTATGGTACTATATGCTAGATCAACAGCAAGAACGAAGTCAGGCAATACAGACTTCTTCCAATTGGCCAAGGAAACAAATAAGAGAAATGGGGTTTAGCGTCAACTCGAAAAAATATATGGGTCATTTCAGGACTAAACATATAGTTCATTTGTATTTCAAAAGTTTGCTTGCGCGCAGTGGTCTTTAGCAATGAGGGAAAACCGGAGGATCCTGAGAAAACCTGTAAGGTTGAAAAGTCGACCCTACTTCTTGGCATATACAAGTGTGGGATCGAAACCACACCACCTTAATCAATGACAGATCTTATGGTCTGAATCGCACGCGTTAGATCGTTCGTCCCCCCCCCCTCCACCGAACAAAAGGATAAATAAAATCCTATACTATAGCAAGTTATCATAACTAACTTATAGCACGTTTTTACATAGAACGGGCTTTAGTCTATGGAAACTATGCATTGATAGGATAAATTTTTTCATAGACTGGACCTATTCTTAACAAAGAGGGCTACCTGGTAGTTAGCTGTATTTTATTTCTCCGTATTCTCTATCGTAGGTGGAGGGGGAGGGGAGGGTGGATGGTTAGCACGCGCGCGCTGTATCATACGGTCTGTCATTGAGTCAACTGGCGTGGTTTCGTTTCCCCGGTTGTACGTGACAAGGAGTAGGGTCGCCTGTCCAACCTCGTGGGTTTTCTCTGGGTCCTCCGGTTTCCTCCCACTGCTAAAGGCCCCTACAAGCAAGCTAATTATTGAAATAAAATTGAGCCATGTGTTAGTCCCGAAATGACCTAGTTTGTGTCGAGTGGGCGTTAAACCCCATTTCTCTCTCTCTCTCTGGGGGGTTGGATGGCTGAATGGTTAGCGTGCGCGCGCTGTATCATAAAGTCTGTCATTGAGTCGACTGGCGTGATTTCGAATCCCCGGTTGTACGTGGCAAGGAGTAGGGTCGCCTGTCCAACCTCGTGGGTTTTCTCCGGGTCCTCCGGTTTCCTCCCACTGCTAAAGACCCCTACGCGCAAGCGAATTATGTAAATAAAATTAAACCATATGTTAGTCCCGAAATGACATAGTTTGTGTCGAGTGGACGTTAAACCCCATTTCTCTCTCTCTCTCCCTCCCTCTCTCCCTCTCTCTCTCTATCGTAGGTATAGCGTGTCTCAGTTCTGAATGCATTCGTATGACAGCAGTACTCGATTTGAGTCTCCATATTATAAAAGCCGTACATCATTGTTAGAGGCTGTGGCTTTTCACCAAACGGACGGACTGCTTAGGTTCTCCGAAAACGTGTGTATCAACCAGACAAGAAACAAAGAAAACGTGAATTTTTGTTTTTGGCTTATAACGTTTCAGTAAATTTTCTGCTTGTATAAATATGTATAAATTTCAAGCATGGTTTGCATGATGGTATGCTTGATTTCTTTTCGGCATCGTTACCATCGTCTAGGTGGTAGTTTCAAAAATTACTTCCATTGCGTGCGTGTCTGTTAGTAATACAAAATCAATTGACAGCATAATTTCGAACAAATTTGAACTGTAGATTTCACCACTACGCAAACATTAGAGTCTAGTTTTTGCATGGTTTTGATGATAAGGTTCATCAGTAACAATTTCGATAAATGAAGTAATTTTAGTGACAACAACTCCACAAAGAAATCCATTGAATTTCAATATGTTATATTCGTATAATATGCAATAATCTACTAAAATCAGCCAATTCAAAAATGATGTTATCCGCACAAGGGTATTCATTTCGTGGAAAGGTGATACGCGATATTATATGCGAAATGGGGAGGAATCCAAACGACAATATAAGAAGAAATGCATTATAAAATGTTCGTAAAGATATATTGATAAAAAGAAGGGGGAATTTTTTGGTGTTCCCTGACATTTTAAACTGTCGAAAGAAGAGAGAGAGAGAGAAATGGGATTTAACGTCCACTTGACACAAACTAGGTCATTTCGGGACTAACATATGGTTTAATTTTATTTACACAATTCGCTTGCGCGTAGGGGTCTTTAGCAATGGGAGGAAACCGGAGGACCCGGAGAAAACCCACGAGGTTGGACAGGCGACCCTACTCCTTGCCACGTACAACCGGGGATTCGAAACCACGCCAGTCGACTCAATGACAGACTTTATGATACAGCGCGCGCACGCTAACCATTCAGCCATCCAACCCCCCTGTCGAAAAAAGCAATTTCAATAATTCTCAATATTTCTTCTTCTTTGTTTTCTAAAAGCAGAAATACCCATAAGACTTACCTTAATGCCGTTATTCCAAACTAAAAATTGTCAACTTATGGTCTGTCGACTTCCATTGATCTCACGCCACTTTATTCGCGTCTGCTAAAATAAACAGTTACGGCATGATTCCCCATTGATCCTTAATTTGTTAACTCGCTTCTGATTGGTTAAAATTAATTGCTTGATTGGCAGCGGGTCGACAAGGTGAGCCTCTAAAGACTTAAATAATGGGAGCGACATTCATCGAAGTCGCTTCCGTAGACCGGAAGCTTTATTGCCATCAGATATAGAAACAGAATTCAACTTCATATCGATTGATGGCCACCGATCGATTCTATGAAAAAGTTACTTGCTTTAAATAAGTAGAAAATCATGTTATAACCGCTATTAAGATAGCCATGAATGATGTAATAATTAAGACTTTATCGCAAGGTCGCGTCACATAATATTGACTAGGCCAAACAAATATGTGTCGGTGTCATTCTAAAACCTCGTAAATCCGATCAACAAAATTTTACAGGAGGAACAAAAAACTTCATAACTTTTCAGATACTTGTCGGAGTTGCGTAACATTTTCTTTATGTGAATTTGAAAATAAACCCTATTAGATGTTATGTCAAATATAAGCTGACACCTGTTCGTGTTTAAGATTGGTTGTTTTCCTACGACATAACGAGGTTTCTGAACGTTTTCGTATAAGAACTGTGATTTGGTGTTTATATACTTTTGCAGTGTAGCCCCCGCCCACCCTCACCCCCTGTGTCAATATAGGAGGAAATCCAATTAGGGATTTATATTTCCGATTAAGGATTGGGGATTAATGACACTCATGCTTTAGACCTAATACGATGACATGATTATGAAAATTAATGAAAATGGTAAGAACAATATTTTCAATATAAAGAATAATTTGAAATGCAGAGAAAAGAAAACTGATTAAAATGATATGAAAAATATGTTCAATTTAAAGATTAATTTGAAATGCGGTGAAATGAAAATTAAAGAGCACAAAGAAAAGACCAAGCAAAATTATATGTACTTAAAGCGTGTGTATATAATCATCTTTACAACAATTCCACACCAATCTGATTAATTTGTTTTGATATATAGTCGGGGCAAGTTAATCTCAAAAATGGAGTGACCCCAAAGAAATTGCAAAAGAATCCAATGCAATTTGGTTCAGTCATACTTATGTTAGACAGCATCATACTCAAATTCGACGGAAGTCTGCAAAGGCGAAATGACGTAATTAACATATTTCACATGGCGGTCTCCAGGATGTTTCTGAGAGTGATATTTCGTGATCAGTGCGTTTCAGTGGTGGGACAATATATTTTTATTAAAATCTTACAATACAAAGTGGTAATAGGGGCGAAATGTTCCGAATATAACAAATTTGATTTTTAAAAAAAATATATTTTTCACATGGTACCGGCCATTTTATCAAAATGGCTGCCAAATTTGATCATAAAATGGCACTGTCCCCGTATATAACTATGACGTTTACTATAGATCTATGTCTTCACTATGTTTTTCAATGTCTGGATTTAAAAATGAATTTTGAATATCCAACATGGTAGACATTCAATATTGCTGCCAATATGGCGGATTTTAAGTTAATCGTTATTTTTCCCTTTCGGATACGACCTGTAACATGTCTCACATGGTTTTAAATGTCATGGGCGTGTGTGTGGCTATGTGCCCTCCCTTCCGCAAAATCCCCCACCCCCACTTTCCGTAATAGTGCCTTTATTTCGAAAAGAAATGCCCTCTAATTTCGAAAGAGTTACGTCAAATACTCACGGAATCAGTTTCCCATTTCCCCAGTGACAACACTGTGCCCCTTTTTCATGCTGTCCTTTCCGTTTTACCAAACAGATCCAGGGATACTAAAAACCAATCACGCTCTAAGTGCATACACGCACCATTGACCAATCCTCATTGGTTGTTGGCTCTCAGACTCAGAGGGACATGAAACCAGTTAACGCTGCTGGTGGTCGACTGATTGTGGCTGGTCGACTGATTGTGGCTGGTGGTATCCAATTTTCTCTGATTTTGTTGCCGATTTTAAAAAGGTCACAGTTTGCAACCATTTATAATCACTATTCTGAATTTAGCCCCATATTAGAATTGTTAGGGTCGGACTTGATAGCTCTGACCCTCAGACAAGCCGGTTTCGTTGGGCCCCTCAATGCGGTTAAGGATACGTGATATGACGAGAAAAGGAAACTAGTTTGATTCACCTTTTTGGCACATCACTCAGAGGTCATTTTGCTCCTCGGATTGAGACCATTATATTTTTCAGTGGATATGAAGAGAAGGTGAATTTTAGTTATTTTGAAAAAAAATATTTGTCAAATTGTGTTTTCCAATCGGGGCCGATGGACACTCGAACCAAGGTAGGCGGTCCGAGACTTAGTCCGCCCCTGAAAACAGATGGCAAAACGAGGCGGCGAATAATGTGAGAGATTTCTATATCATTTTGGGATCCAACATCCAAACATTGTCACTAGACCCGTGTTTAAGCGGGATGCATACCTTGTTGCAACCACGGGCCCCAATATTAAAGGAGTCCCCAAATTAGTTCTAGATTAATTTATGATTTGATTTATTATGTAGTTCCAAATAAATCTATCAACTATGCAGTTGTGTGTGTGTGACGGACAAGGACCAGAGTATGCTTGTGGAGACATTTTCGGCCAAGGGCCCCATGCAATCTTATCCATAAATCAATTAATCTGTCTTTGTTTTATTAAGCAACATTGCAACACGGACGACGGGGATGTTTTTTGCTGTTAGCATACGCAAAGTCAATACCCTAACCGTTACCACAAACCCAAGTGAATTTTATTCTGTCACTAGTAACTTCTTTGAGCAGGCTTAAAAGTGAACTTATTACACCAGTGCCACGCTCGGTGCCAAATCTAATCTGCCCCCTCCCCCTACCCAAAGTGCCCCAAATTTGGTCTTCCTACCCTCCTTCGGAGGCCCCGGTACGCCGTTGATAATATATTGAAACATATTAAATAATTACATCAGCTGTATTGCATAATTATTTATAAGCCTATAATTCTTAGAGTAACTTGGAAAGGAATTCCAGGCGGCGTGACCTGTCTTCGACCGGTGCAGTGCTGATAATAAAATGATGTTCCGTTCAGTTGCTAATTCGTGTTTGATATTTAAGTTATTAGGAATATATTATAATCTAAATACGTACACTTTTCTAGTCAATATTGACGATTGAGCCCAGGGGCGTCTCAACCGGGGTGGGGTAGGGGTGGCAATAATTTGTTTATGTCAGTTCGTTAGTGTGAGGTTTGGATCAATAAGTATTTAATAAATGCTTTTCTTCAACATCTCGAGTGGTTACTTGTTGAACCATAAGATGCATGTGTGTTATTAAAAAATATTGATTGATCACTATAGTCTTCCCCGATTCAGTTCCAGGTGTTGGTGAACTATCAGCGGTACGAAAGTCTGTGTGCTTCACTCTCTATGACTGAAGCTGTCTACTTTTAGGACAATGTGCACTGCTCTTATAGTTTTATTACAGTTAGCCAGCCATGGAATAATCTTTTAGCAAAATAAGTGGGAACCGATAGGAATTAAAGGGGGTGGGGATCACAAGAGTCCCCCACCCCCACCCACCCTCCCGAGAGCCGGATTTAGTATTATCTGTAATAAGCTATAAAACACTTTGCTTATAATCTTAACATATCATTATATCTGACTTTATGTGTTACAGCAGTCGATTCATACAGCCATGGAGCCAAGTTCCTGCTCTATTCAAAGTGAGATGCTTGACGGTTTATCAAATCATCTTGTGGTTATTAAGCAGACATGTCATCAATAATGTATGAGTCTAACTGTCATTCTCATACATGTGTAGGTGCCCTAAATGTAATTATATACAGGACATTAGACTAATTAAGTCGATCTACACGAATCAAATACACACTCAAACACAAACAGCTGATTATAAAGTAAGCTGTTTTATAAAAATAGAGAAATAGAAAGAAATGGGGTTTAACGTCCACTCGACACAAACTAGGTCATTTCGGGACTAACACATGGTTCAATTTTATTTCAATAATTCGCATGCACGTGGGGGTCTTTAGCAGTCGGAGGAAACCGGAGGACCTGGAGAAAACCCATGAGGTTGGACAAGGAACCCTACTCCTCGTCAAGTACAACCGGGAAATCGAAACACCGCCAGTTGACTCAATGACAGACCGTATGATACAGCGCGTGCGTGCTAACCATTCGGCCACCCCACCCTCCACCGATAGTCAAATAGAGGTGAATTACAGGATTTTATATCTTTGAACAGGTAATAAATAAATGTATGGTCTGAACAGGACCGGGCTAGAAAGTTCATCGTGATTTTCCGGCGTGGTTCACCCTCGCCGGTGGTGCAGAACGGAAGCCTATATGATAAGGGGCAACGTTGGCGTGTACGTATAGAACACTTAACAGTTGGAATTTAATATAAGAGTACATTGCATGGCGAATGCCCGTCTTCATTAGCTTTTGTAAATTGTAAAACTAAAATACGTATTTTGAACTACTGACATTTGCAGTTTGCGCCGTGAACATTGAAATAATATTGGCAACGTTATCCTTCCATAGTCGGAGTAGAACAGAAGGACGTTAAACCACATTAAATTTCTAAACAGGACCAGGATAATCTAACTCATTATCCCCACTTCTTATTGCTGACGTTTCGGTAGGTGAATATCTTTCGTGTGCTGTCGATACCACGCAGGCGCTAAAGGGCTTTCAACAGATTATTATTCAGAAAGGCAAAAGGGAAGCTGCCAGTTAAATTGTCTCGATCTGCTGGATAAAATTTTGATGCCTTTAAAAAAGATAGGTTGCCAGGCAACGAAACATACGCCCACAGCAGCTAAATCGTCCGGGCAGTCAACAAGAGTTGTCGCATATTTTTACTTTTTTCGGTAATGAAACATTTATAATACACTAAAATCTGATTAAGAGCAACAACTCAGAAAACCATTAGAATTTGTTTGGTTTTTATAAAGTTCTGCCCCATGCTAACGTTTTGTATACAAAACTTTTAATACTGTATCATGAATTTAGCTGTTCCAAATCAATATGCTTGTTCGTCTCAAGATCTTAAACTCTGTGTATCAATCTGCAGTCAATCGGATTAACTTTGGCCTCTAGAGCGTCCACAAGATTTTTCAAAGTGATCAAGGGCCATAACTTTGGCAGTAATTATTAGAAATCTTTGAAAATCAATAGGATTCTTCGCCTCGTGACCTCAAACACTGTGTATAAATTTAAAGTCAATCAGATATTAACTTTAGCCTTTAGAGCATCCACAAGGTTTTTTGAAGTGATCAAGGGCCATAACTCTGGCAGTAATTATCGAAAATCACTGAAAATGAATAGGTTCTTCGTCTCATGACCTTAAACACTGTGTATAAATTTAAAGTCAATCGGATATTAACTTTGGCCTCTAGAGCGTCCACAAGATTTTTTGAAGTGGTCAAGGGTCATAACTCTGGCAGTAATTATCGGAAATCGCTGAAAATCAATAGGCTTCTTCGTCTCATGACCTTAAACACTGTGTATAAATTTAAAGTCAATAGGATATTAACTTTGGCCTCTAGAGCGTCCACAAGATTTTTTGAAGTGATCAAGGGCCATAACTCTGGCAGTAATTATCGGAAATCGCTGAAAATCAATAGGCTTCTTCGCCTCATGGCCTTAAACACTGTATATAAATTTAAAGTCAATCGGAAATTAACTTTAGCCTCTAGATTGCTTGTGGACGCCGGACCGACAGACGGGCGGACGGGGGCGACGACAATATACGACCACATTTCAATGTGGGCGTATAAAAAGCAATCTATTTCATAGGTTTCGAAAAACAGGTTGTGTTGTGGAAATGTAGGTCACCCCCACCCCCACCGCCACAGACGACGCATATTTGATTAGTAATTTTATTTTTCTGTTGTCCTCACACCTGTCTCCGGCTTATTTTTATCTGTTTTCTCTTGTTCAGCAGATTGCTCTGAAAAGTAACTGAATTTTCCAACCATTTGATAGTTTGTCATCTACTTAACATTCAACTGGCCTATTTTTGAAGAAAATCCTAATATCATACTGTCTAATCCTGTACGAGGCCATCTTTTTGGTAATTTTGTTCATGTACAAATTTATCAAGACACTTGGATCTTCATTTATACCATAGTAGGTACTGTTCTTTTATTGACAATTCCTTGGTAATCAACATAAATTGCTAATATATCCTATATAGCATGTTGACGAAACAATTGAGACAGGGAATAGTTAACACATAAATTTTTAATTCAATAATAAAAATAAATACTGTAAATAAAATAAACCTTAAATAAATTAGCATGCTTCTAATCAACAAATTAAATTATTTGATATAAATCACAATATTATTGGTGATTACAAATATAAAATTTACAATACAATAAAATAACCATCTAAATATGATGTGTCTAAAAATATGAACTAGGTCCCAATTCAATATTAATTTTTTTATATAGAAATACCTTAGGCTACACAAAATAAATGTCTTGTTTCTCGGGCAACTGACAGCTGAAACTGTAGGGGGGGGGGGGGGCGGTTTCTTTTTTTTTTACCCCATTGCTGGCTAGAGGATGGTGCAAAATAAAATTTGGCTATTGTTGAAAATTGTTGGGGCGGGAGGGCGGCCTTGTATTTTTTTTTTTTTTTTTTTAAAATGAGAAAGTCATTACTTGTCTACGGTTTTGCTTTCAGTTATATATTGTACATACTTAGACTTAGAACATAAACCCAAAAATCAAGTCTACTCAAAAACTGAACACTGACTGAAAGGAAAATAATTTTCCATATTTAATTCATGTAATGTAGCTTACTAATGGTAATGGTGACAAACATAATTGAAATTGGTTTAAAATAAAATTCCGTACGACTATTAATAGCCGTCCATAATAACGACAATATTTTAAAGAGTAAGCCTCTGTCAGCATGTGTATCAAAAATAATCATCACGGTAAACGACACTTAGAAGTTTAGAACTAAATCTAGTATAGTAGTATCGCTGGTTTATAATGATTGACCTAATTCCAACCAATGCATGTCACGTGTCATCGGGATTCGGGAAATGACTGTTTCTCAGGATATTCGGTGTGTTTCTCATGATGTTCGGTGTTCTATCTGGGGTTTATATCGAATGACTATTTAAATTTAACTAACAACTGGTCAGTAAAACCATCAAATGTGTAATCCAATTATTATTTTCCGGATTATCAAAACGGAAAACTACCGTTAAATCTGCTAATGACCCAAATTCTGACTGAGGTATGGTGACTATCATCGTGTCGTATTCGTAGCCACAAGTAATAATTAACCTGTTCTACGATTCATTGTTTTATCAGTAGGATTTTTCAAACATGGACCGAATGAAGCCGGCCGATTCATATCGAATGATTGTAATACATTGCATTGTTGTCAATAACTTTCGGTGTTGAACACGAATCAAATTCTAATTCACCAGGGGAGGTAATTAAAATCACGTGATACAAAAATGGAGGTTCTTTCGATATCAATAAAAAAGACCCGTAAATGAGCATTTACATCTGGATCAGTTTAATACATTTGAATGGATATACAAGTATGACGCATGTAGGTACATGCGGCATATTCTTTTTATGACTTGCTTATCGATGTTCGGGCGGGCGTTACATATTTTTTATTTTTCATCAAGACTAATAAATAGGCCGCACGCGCAACCAATTTTGCGTGCGGGCGGTGCCCGAGAAACAACTTATTTTATTTGTGTTGCCTTAAAATGAAAATACTATTTCAGTATACTTTTAAGAGGGCTATTCACCACAGATAATAAACAACAAAATATATGGAGGAAATAATTTCCATTTTACCAGTTGGTTCTGTTTAGCTGAATACTGAATATTTATGTACTATACTAGTGCAGTTGTTTTATATTAAGTCTTATAGACAAATCATATACATAAATGTATGTAATAACATGTAGTACAGTACCAAGTTTTTATCCTAGCACATGGAATACTTTCGTCTGCCAGTCAAGTCTTCTTCATAGTTAGAAAATAGATGAAGTGAACGAAAGAAGAAGATCCCAACTATCAGACTGTACAATGCTGTCATATACAATGAAATTCCGCTATTAAGAACAGATGCTAGGCTGATATAATTTGGTCCTTATAGTGGGAGTGATCATTATACCCAGTTGGAATCCTAGGATAAAATGAATTGGGTTTAACATTCAACTTTTCAGTAAAGACAGGAATACATTATAATTGATAAATTGTAAGACAGGATACATTATTTGATAAATTGTAAGACAATGTAGTGTCCTGTACTAGAACTCTAACTATAGGTTCATGTACATATAGCAATAATACTGGTTTACAAATACCTCTTGACACTATATCTTAGCATACTCAACTGTAGATGGTAGTTCATATATATATATATATATATGCAATTAGTAATTTCCACCAGTCAATTTTTAAATATTCTTAAAGGTTATATTATGTAAGATTTTTAAAAATTCTTAAAGTATTCTTAAAGTTATATTATGTAAGATTTTTAAATATTCTTAAAGTTATATTATGTAAGATTTAGATAAAGAGCTGACCATTCTTGCTATAATAGTTCAAAAATAGATATTGCAAAATGAATATATTAAAAAATTTCGTTCAAATTACTTTATTCTGAGCTAAGTTATCACTGCTAGTAGTTTTGACAAGATGCGTGCATTGATTGTTTATTATCATAATCACAGTACTGGTATATTCAAGACTTAGCCTCACTTATCGATTATTAAATTAAATCATTAAATAGCCGAACTGTTCTAATCTACTTAAAATCGGAGCCATCCGATGGAATCAAGAGTTGATTATGGCCTTGTCATGTTTATAAATGTCTAATTAATAATTCATATAATATTTAAGGCCTAAATAAAGACCTGCAATAGGCAGATTTAGCTCTTGAATTATCTTTAAATGAATTGACTACCCCTAACATACATGAATGTCATGCCAATAAACTAGACATAAACATATGAAAGATTCATACTGACTTTTACACAGATTTTTAAGGAAAATATAAATTAATTGTATAAGATGTATTCTTACATTAAAGTAGTTAGTAACTAGATAAACAACATTATACTGTATTGCTGATTAAATAACTATATATTACTCAAATATAATGACCGGCTGGCAAAGCATTGGATTTAGAACCAGCCATTCAACATTATTATCTTTTAATTCATACTAACCTATCACATAAAACAAAAAAAAAAATTCTACGTGTATTTGACCCATGGTCCATAGAAAATGTATCTGTTGACATCAATAGAGAGGAAGCATAAGCTTATACAATGTATATTATAAAGCATCTTTGGTTTAAATGAAACCTTGGAAATGAAATAATTTGTAATATTAAACTTTGGTTTAAACAAATGAGAATAATAAAAACTTAAATAATTTTATCTATTTCAAAAGTCCGACACAATCAAAATATCTGGATAAAATCTGATGTTCCAAAAAAGGGAGCTAAAAGTAGACAAACAGTAGTAAAAAAGAATTTGCACATATATTGTTACTCTTCTTTACTTCAATAGAATAAAATATGCCAACTAAGATTTCTTCCCCTGTATACACAAACTTGTTGCTTGACATTTACCCAATCCAAGCTGTAAACTATAACACATACTTATTATGGAAGAACAATTACTGATTTATTTGGGCAACGTTTCGAAGCATATTTTCTCAACGTTTTCAAGCAATCCAAGCTGGCAACATGATATTATGAGTTTTTGGGTCATAATTTGGATGCTTGGGACTTTTGAGATAGACTATATTTATAGTGGCTATTGACCAGTTTTTATTACTACATGTTAATGCTATATAAATGGAAAACTCCTAGTTAATTACATTTCTCTTAAATCCATCAATCATGAGTATAAAAGTATACAATTCTATTTAATCAGTATGTAAAAGTTACCCAAGGGCACCCACTCCTAAACATACACACACAGGTCTGATTTTCTTACAAACTTTACCTTTTCTTGCATGTACTTTGTTAGGCAAAGGTTTCCCAAAATAATTAGGTTTAAAATATATGCAAAGCTTTATGGGTGGAAGCCCTTGAACAAAATATTTATAACATTTTTAAGTGGAATTTTCAAATATCCATGAGTTATCTCTTTAAATTTCCGAGAATAAAATTTTAGGCAAGTACCGAATGATGTCATACCACTGTAAATATATTTAATCTAGTAACAAGGGGGAAATATATTTTTTATAGCCTAATGTTTGTGGAATTGCACAAATAAATTGATGTGAATAAAAACATTATGTGTAAAGAAAAGATGGCGTATAAATAACAAACTTATAATTTAATACATTCATCTTATCTTAAAGCTAACACATCTTCTCTATCAGTCATTTTATTATCCTCATCTGAATCAATTAACTCATCATCTCTGTAAGAAAACAAAAATTCCATAAAAAATCATTGCCAAAATATTTTAATTATTAACTAATCAAAATACGATTACAATAAACAAAACACAGATGGAATTGGTGAAATGTATGTGGTGACTTACAGGGGGGTTGGGTGGTCAAATGGTTGGAATGCATGCGTTTAGATTGTAAGGTCCGTCATTGAGTCAAGTGGCATGGTTTCAATTCCCAGCTGAAAGTAGGGTTATCTGACCAACCTAGTGGGATTTTTCCAAGTACTCCGGTGTCCTCCCACTGCTAAAAACCCCTATGCACAAGCGAATTATTGAAATAAATTCAAACCATATGCTCAGTCCCAAAATGACCTAGTTTACATTGAGTTTACACTTAACGCCATTTCTCTCTTTCTCCTTAGGGAATTTCAGTTACAATAATTTTAAAGTACTGGTATTAGAAATCTTACCTAAGTCTGGTGTTGATATCATAGCCTTGATCTCTACTGTTACGTATAACAGAACTACTACGACTACTACTTCTACTAGAATCATTCTTCCAACTTAACCTTGATATCTGTCCATCAGCTAGAAAACATAAACATTCTAATTACTCAAGTCAAACTGCAATAATATCATAAACTATCTATGCCATATATTTTACTACAGTATAAAATACATGTATGTATATTAAGGCACATACAAATAAAGGATCATATGATTACTGGGCTGTTTGGAAAACAAGGTCAATATTTTCTTAACACAAAATCAAATTTACTTGCAATCATTCAAAAATCAAAATCTAATTAAAGCCATATTAGAAATGATGCAGTTATTACGGAAGACTACAGTCTCTTAGCGTTTTTAATATTGCTTTAATAGCACTGAAGAATTTGAAGATGTCTGTTTATGTAGTAATGTTCTACCTGTTATTCGTCCTGATTCTGAAGCTAGTTCCCATTCTAATTTATCTAATGTCTCCTGATCATCTTGTGTTTGTTCTCTATAGTCAATCTGATCATACATACTGTAATCTTCTCCTTCTAATACTGTAACAATAATAACTCCTATATAACATATCCCAATAATATAATAACTCCTATATAACATATCCCAATAATATAATAACTACAATATATACTAAAGTTCACTTTTAATCCCCTGCTTTTTGGTAAATTCAAATAAGGAGAATGGTGATCAATTGACCTCTTGCTGCTTTGTTACTCTAAATAACCACTCACTAAGCCATTCCAGGGCCCAGCAGCATGAGGCACCCAGGAAAAACCCACTAGCAGAATATCTTATTATTCGAATCTACAAGTAATTAGTGATAGACTTATCAGCTACATGCTTGAAACCTCATGTAAGTTTTCATGTCCATATCATTATATAAGAAACTAAGTATATGTACCTATGTTTTTAGATTTGCGTCCAGATTGTAAATTAGTATTACATGTTATCTCATCTACAGTAATAGGTAATGTTGTATATTCAGAATTTTCACGCTGTAACGGTTCATCATTTAAAGCAGATTTTTGTCGTCTAGCTGATATCCTGTAACACAGAGTATACAACACATTAAAGGGGCATTAGGTAAGATTAGATAAAAGAGCTGACAGTTCTCGCTATAATAGTTAAGAAATTGATAATAAAAACAATAGACTAAAAATCTCGGTCGTCATTACTAATGTTGGTATGATAATAAACAAAGTGTCGATTATCCATTTTTATGTTAAATTATCCATCACAAAATATATTCAAATCCAGTAAATATCGCAGGCTAACTATGGCATCGAGAGTTGATTACGGTCTGAATAAGTTAATTAATGTCTAATTAATAATTTAGATAACATTTCAGGCCCAAAGACTAAAGAAAGACCTGCTATAGGCAGATTTAGCTCTTGCATGTTTTATAAATACATGAGAATATACTTATGTTTTATTGTAAAATAAAATTCTAATTCATAAAAAAAGGACATAAATTCAAACTAGCTGGAAAATCCTAAAGGTGCTTATGATTCACACTAGGATTTGAAGCCAAGATATTTACAAAGTTACTTTACTTACTGTGGTCGGTGCTTATGACTTCTGTGATTATAGCCTTCATGATAATCTTCTCTATCTTCATGTTTTAGATGATCACTATATGTAAATGATAGCACTGATTCAGACTTTCTATTTATAGATTTCTCTTCTGTAGGGGTTGCAGCATCTCCTAAACATGCCAACACAGTATCTGATAATTCTGGAACTACTGTATCTGCTGATAATGTTTCACCAAGACTACTCTCTGGTCGCCAGGATCGTGGTGCCATTTGATACACTATAAAATAATTAAAATAGTATTTTTACAAGATAAAAAATGACATATTTTAAATCTGATATTGCCCTGATTCTCTACAAGGTTATTCCCCTTGTGCTTGACAACTGAGTATGTTATGAAAGTAGTGACAATCAAATAAAATCAAATTGGGCATGCGCCAACTGAATAATGACAGAAATATTTCTAATAATACAAATGAATCCTGTTCACTTTGTTTCATTATGTTTGGATTCAACACCAACCATAACAACAGTGGAAGAACTTGATTCTGTGTCACTAAAATACAAATTCTGTCATTTGGAAATGTTCTAGACCCACAATTAGTCATCTTTACGCATGCTTTAAAACTGTGTCCATTAACACCAGCACAACATCTACATTTGATACAGTGTCATAAATATATATATACACGTATATCCATAAAGTTGAAAATGGCATCTTGTCTAGCTTATCTTGTTCCATCATATAAATTCCAATCTTTTCAGCTCGTTTTTCATAAATTTGTTTTGACCTTCAAGCACATTGCAGCATTAACATAAATAAAAAAGATTAAAATCAAAGAGAATGCTTACATGCGTAACTGACTTTAATATCTTGCTTTCTTAAACTACCAGGACGTGGTGTAGCTGCTTTATTAGGTTGACTAACACCACCATCATCACTAGCATCAGTAAAATAATCATTTAATACAGATCTATACTGATAGTCTGATATGTCTGGTTTTTCTACAGCCATCTTAGCTACATCTTGTAAAGCTGATGTAGGAGATTTAGTCAACAAACCATCAAACCTACAAGTAAAAACATACAATTCTATTGTTGTGTGACCGTGGGGTCCTTCAGATATTACAAGAGTCTATAATGGTTCTTCAAATCTTTAATACTGGAAATTTATAATTTACAATATAAGAAATAATACAATTAATAGATTATTCATACAGTTGGCATCTTCACGAGACAGGCCATATTGGCAGTTTCTTTCTATCTATCTATAAAAGTTTTATAAACAATAAGGGATTATAATAAATTAACATGTCATTAGCATTACAAAACATTCCATCCTTGGCTAGTCAACTTTTTTTAAAAGCACACACACAATTAATGTTTTGAAGGAATAGAATAGTTATTGTCCCGAGAGATTAAATGAATTCAATTTGAAGGCTTTCACTTTTAAAATTAATAATGTATTATCTTAAATATTCAAGATTTAAATTATAACAAATAACTACTATAACCTGCACGGTTATAGTTGTAATGAACTGAAATTCCAATCAAATCTTAATATATTTATGAGTTTACAACTTAGGCCCACCATTCAGTTTTTGCTATTATCTTTGATACAAGTATAGAGGCAGGTTGAGAATTATAAATGACCAAAGGCAAGAGTTAGACTTAACAAAACAAAGAGGATTAATTTCGTGGAACACTATATGTGCACTATAATAAATATAAACTTTTAGCATAATTAAAGTTTTCATAATTAAAGGTAAGCAATGTGAAAATACAGCTTACTGTAATCTAGACATAGCTCGACTCTTGGCTCTAGAAACTGGTCTGGATCGTGAGCTTTTGGGACGGGTTGAGGCTGGACGAGATTTTGCTGAAACTTGACGACTGACATTGGATTTGGTTTTAGCTGCCCTGGCTTCCTGTATAAAGGAGTCAGTGATAGGGTCTGATAAACACTCAGCATCCAAACAGGATTTTTTCTGTGATTTTGCGTGGCTGTCTTTGACATCATTGGAGGGGCATCTTTTCGTATTATTTGATGCTGATGCTGGCCTTGCAGTAGAATTAACCATTTCTGAAGTAATGGATTTGGAACTGAAAAAACAATAGATGGTTTAAGTTCAGAGAGCACAATGACAGCAACAAATATAATTGGATTACTTTTTAAAAATATAACAATGGTAATATTTACCTTTGATCATGTTGTATTTTCCATGCTGTCATATCATCTACTTCTTCTACTTGATAACTTGCTGTCTGATCATAATTCTTGTATTTCTTCTTTGGCTACAAATATAAACTTACTTTATAACAGCAAAAATAAGGAAACTTACATAGTTGCACATGTTTATAACCTGTGTTACATTTTGTGACATACAAATCAGAATATCTGCTTTCAAACATGAATATGTTTCTATCATAAATTGATTGTTATTAACCCTTTAGAAGTTAGTTTATGTATAATAAATATTGACTACCATGGTTTCTTGAAGAAAATTAGAGAAAAGTTATATATTTACACTGGTACATCACTATACAGACTGAAACAATCCAAAACTGATGTTCCTAAGGCTTAGATTGCCTCATACTGATCAAGATATTTGAATAGCTTTCCATATTATAAGACCATTTACCAGTTTGTGTAGGCATGTGACAGTGTGGTTTGGGGTGATTCAAGGGGGCAGTTTAAATGCTAAAGGGTTAAAAAATAAATATGATTTTTGCAAAAACTTAATTTCTATGATGATTGTTAGAGTAATATAGGTGTAATTAGATTAAATATCTCAATTTCCTGGCATCCATATTGACTGACAAATTACTTATACTTATAGGCCATATAAAAAAAACATTCTCAAAAAATATTTGAATGAATCCATAGGCTCATTTATCAAGTACAGAACCCTGATAATTGTTAATGTCATTTAGACCAGTAGTGATCCTTTGATAAAATAAAAACACAAAAATAAAAATGTCCCTCAGGCATCAGATTTTTGGTAAGGATTGTTTGAGAACCAGAACATTTTCTTTGTTTGGCCTTAGCTGCACATATGCCTGTTTTCTTTATTCCCCGATATATGAAAATTAGAAAGTAACAGAAGACACCATCTATTGATTTTTAAAAGTGTTTTCTTATTAAAGATATATAATATCCATACCAAAGTATCAAGTTCTATAATAGATAAACTAGATTCTGTTATACGTTGACTATTCGGTGTAGTAGTATTGGAAGGAACCATGGCTTCGTATAATGAGTGGAAATCTACATGTTCATCAATGCCACCTAAAAATGAAAAGAAATGGGGTATAACGTATTATCTGCTTATCCTAGAAAAGTCTTCGCAAGTAAGATAAAAAAACAAAACAGTAAGTTCTCGTCATCAGAATATTTTGGCCATTTTGAGACTATTATGTGGTATTATTCAATTCACTGGTGGCATGTGCAATGTCCGGACTTTGGCCTCTTCCTTCTACTCTTCATCAAATTCCAACTGTATGCCAATGTGTAACACAGGGGGAGCGTTGTTTTTAGTCCCATCCAAAAGGCTATAGATATTTCCCAGCAAACATCATCCCTGTCAGAACCCGACTTCTTTGCCCACACTGTTATCTGAACCTCAGCAATCTGGTTGAGAAGCTTGTCACCTACATTTATCACCGCGACCCACATTTTAACGGCAATTGTGATCCTGTATTATCTATTATTCACAACAGTCAATGCCACACCTTACCTTCTCTAATATCCATCTCTTCATCTTCATTAGCTGATGAATTACTTCTCGGCGTAGTAATATGGCCCACATCTGTTCTTCGGTGTTTCTTTAGCATAAGTCTTTCAGCATAACTCAGGTTATTGTTTGTAAACTTGATTTCTATTGGTTGATTGACTTCCTGAGTACTGGTAGAACATTCAGTTTTGACAACTGTAGAGAAAAATCATTTAGTACATCAGTATTTACTGACGGTTGACATATAATTTGTATTCTATTAACAAAAGGTATTTTATTCAATGTTTCACTAACTGATCAGAAACTTTCTATTGTCTGTTTATATAAGCTTTCTGTTTACAAGGTCATGAAATAAGTCTTACTTGGTGTTTTGACTCGGGATACTGGACGTTTTGGACTAGTTGTTGGGAGAACTCTCTTTCTATCAGGGGAAGTAACAAGGGAATCCCCACTTCTCCATGCCTGTAGTGCACTTTGAAATGAGGCAGCACTTTCGTCTTCATCAAATTCTCCTGTTAATAAAGATGATTTTCCTATTGAACCACTGGCACCCATTGATGAATTTCTTGCGGTATCCTGAAAGATGAAAAGAGAATTTTGATGTAACATATCTATAATTCTGTGATTAAAATAATATTACACTATGCAGGAGAAGGAGAATTTTGTCCATACACTGACACTTTTGTCTACTCTTTTTCCAACATTCAAGTGGATCAATAACATTTAGCTTTGCTAGTCCTACACTGCTGTTCAGGCAAACTTTCCTACATAGCACTCTGTAAAGCCTATGCTTGTCTTCATTGGCCATGTTGCGGAGCAGAAAGTAAGCCACTACTTAAAGCCCATTTCATTTCATTATCATTATACGTGGAAAACAGGCTTGAAATATCCTGAAATGTAAAAACCAGGCTGCTTACAGGTTAAGTGTCCTAGTTTCTTGAATGAGATGTACTTATAGTTAAATTACCTGATGTATTATAGAACTAACAGCACTAGCTTCTGAACCATGTCTAGGTGACCTTAAATCAAACAGAAAATTAATTAGACAAGTATAATATTAAAAACACACAAATAATTAATTCAGTCATTCACATATATTTCTGATTTCAATAACTTAGAAAATAATAACGTGATTTCTACCTTGGCTGCGGATCAAAACGGGGTGACATACACTGTCTTGGGCCAGATGCCTGAATAAAAAAAAATTTAAAATAGTAGGTCATAGTTTCAAAAATCACATAATTAAATTTTTAATAGATATAGTAAGCATGTTGATCGCAAGGCAAGAACTTAATGCATCATGAAATTAATGTGAATCGAAGTTTGATTTCTTGTTTGTGGACAATTCCACACCAAAGTATACAATTAGGTGAAAAATTTAATTAGTTGATAAGTGGACAAAAATAGTGTTTTAAGGTGAGAAATAATCTATATTTTTCAGACAATTTTTACTTATTAAGTAAACAACATTATAAATACATTGGATGATTAATGTAGCATGTAGAGAGTTCACAAAAATGGTGGACGACCGACGGATGAATGCAGGCAACAGCATATACAGCCAGGTGAGTAATATAGATACAAAAATAGTGCATAGCCAGTAGTGATAATATTTAAAATATTATCATTTGTGTAAATTCTCATTGTTTGTATCATATGTCATTTCTGTATATTTGATAAAAACAAATCTAATCTTACATGTAATGGAACTGTTCGATGTCTTTTTAAGGCACCTTTAAAATGAAAGGCAGCAAAACAACCAGCACAGAAATATTCTGCACATTGTACACATGACTGAAAAAAAACCAGTTTATCTTAAAAGCTTACACATATTTATTTATATTATATAATTCACCAAAAAATACCAAGTTCAATTCTGTGATTAGTTGCAATTTCTTGAAAAAGACTTTAGTTGTACCTTACAAACTGTCACACACTAATCACCTAGTACCTGATATTTTTTACTTTGAGGCAGACATTATCATGTATTACAAATATCAATAAAAACAGTAAATAAAGAAATCTGTGCCAGACAAAATGACATGCACCAGATGATCATGCCTGACATTGCCTGTACCTTATTTCCAGGTCTATTGATACTAGCTATAATATAACACTCTCTCTCCCCACAATTTATAATATAGTAAGAAATGATGATCAAGATGTCCATAGAGCTATTTTTCTTTCAGTTTTAAGCATAATCAGAATCAGATCATCCACAAAACATTTGTTTTAATGGTATTGCTAAGCAAAATATACTTTTTGCACAGGCACTTGAAAGGATTAAAATAATATATAGTCAAGCAGTAGTAAGAAGTTTTATTATAATCCCTTCAAGTGCCTGTGATTTTTTGGTATGGATTCAAATCAGATAAAATGCACACAATAAGGCATGCCAGTTTGTGTTCTGCTATATGGGAGCATGTGTAATCCTTGCATATTAAATGGTAACCCTTGCTCATTCGGTTACTACAGATTTTAAGTGTTTTTTTAGCATGGTAAATTTATATTTTCAATATGTATAGCATTATGTATAGTAAGTTTTAATCTTCTGAAATTTTGGCAATAATACCTGATAATTTGGAGGTGAAATGAAATGAAATGGGGTTTAACGTCCTACTGTTCTGCTCTAAACTGGGCTAATGAAGACGGGCATACGCCATACAGTGTGCTATGAGAGAAATTTTGCCGGACAGCGGCACAATGTGGCCTACTCTTATATCGAATTCCAACTTTCAAGGGATCTTTTACGTGTACGCCAATATGTACACAGGACCTCGGTTTTTCGTACCATCCGAATGACTAGACAGCTGTCCTTGTCAGGCCCTCCGTCCTGCATCACTAACAAGGGGAAACCACGCCGGAAAATCTGGATGAACTTTCTCGGCCAACGCAGGGATCGAACACCCGAGACCTCCAGGCTATTGAGCCAGCGTCTTACCCACTTAGCCACATGATCCCCAAATTTGGAGGTAAAAAGGATAAAATAGTTCTTACCATAGAAGCTGCTCTTTCTTCACATTGGCCACATTTAAGTATTTTAGCTTTATCTCTATATGTGTTTAATACTTGACTATTTGCTATATATTTCATTGTTCCTGGTTCTCCACTACGTTCTGGTAATACTGAAATAAACACCTTTCAACTTGAAATATTTATCAATAAAATTTTCTTTGTGAATTTTAAAGTTTTCTATTCTTCTAGACTTTTAGTATGGTAAACACAATTTTAAACACATTAAGCCAAATACATAAGTCTACTGTGTATCTTTTAAATATATATCAAGACTTAAAATTCAGACTCTAAGGGACATTATGTCGAAAAGGCGAAAATTGAAAAATTGCTAAGTTTCTTATGCAAAGCAATATGGAGCTGTGACACCTACTATAAGAGTTTTCAAGAAGAGCAACCAAGTACTGTGTATTTCTTCCAGAACTAAAAATCTAATTGGTGTGGCCTTTTCATCAGCAAAATTGTATGAATCTAAATATGAAAAACGATTAAACACTCCATGTGAACATGGTTTGTGTGAAATAACTTTTTGAAATGATCTATATGAAATATAATAACTATTTAAAGTTGTAGTAACTCACCTATCTTTTCATTTCTTAATAATTTAACACTTCTTTTTTTAATTTCCTAAAAATATTTAAATGTATGAATAATAATTTGTATTCAGTTACCACTAAAATCTTGAGTTACTGAAGAACAATGGGATCCCATTGGATATGAAATAGACTCTGAAACCACCGGATAATCCTTGAAAAGAACCAAGTAATTTAAAAATTAATGCATAAGGCATATTGGTTCCACTAATTACACTCAGCAGTGAAAACTCTGGAATAAATCCATACCTTTGGTTTTTGTTTTTCAAGTACATCTGTTGCGTAACTATTTAAAGATCCTGTTTGACCTTTCTTCCAAAATCCTCCTTTTTTCCTGATAATAGACACCAGAGATAAAAGAATATTATAGTATACAAAATGTTAAGAAGATGAAAAGATTACTGGAGTAGAACTAGAAGTAAGTAAAAAAATTGAAAGATCTAATAACTATCTTTAAATTATCCATTATTCACTGTCTTAATCATTCATCAATTTCATTGATTAATCGATTCAGCTTGCAACTATCTTCTCAAAAGTCTGGTTTATATTGTAATTTGATATGTTACTTACTCTCTCTGTTCTTTCTCTCTACCCATTGCTACTTTTAATTCCCTTAATCTTTCTTCCATCTTCCTACTCTCTAGTTCTAATTTTTGGGTTTCTTCTTGGGCATTTTTTATATTCCTAAAAAATATCATAATGTTAAAGTTGTAAAAACTTTATTTTGGTAATGTATTGAATTTTATATTAATTTTCTTCTGGATATATACAGTCTTTAGTACGGTACCATTTATTAATGCTGGCACAATATATTGTTGAATCGATGTATCGCAATTCACCTTCTCACATTTCACGTATTGAATCACAACACGCTGAATCGATGTATCACAATTCTTTTTTACTTTTATTTTGTCGCTTCAGTAAGTAACCAGTCACTCTAAATTATCCATGTCACACATTATCCATAGGTACACAAACACTCTTAAATTGTTTTGGTCCTTAATTTGATCCACATTAATGTCGTGATATAAAACAGGTTAATTTCTTCAACATCGGCAAGACTAAAAATATCAGTTATTCATTTATCCTGTTGTTTACTTGGTAAATATTGACCTGGTTATGAATCGTGATACAAATCGCATCTGAATCACAATAAGTATCATATCGTGACTGCAGTGGCAATACCCAGCACTACCATTTATACCAATATTGTGCGTAAAGATGAGCGTTATTTTTTTATTTTTATGTTAACCTTTTCTTATCAATACCCTTTAAACGGCTATTTGTGAATAGAAGCGGCATATTTCTTCTTTTAAATAAAAAAAAATTCCAATGACTAAAATTACGCGTGGGAATTTCGGCAAACGGAAAATCAAAAAACTTAACATTCTTGATAATACAAATTTTGATATATAAGTGAAAACAGATAATGTACTGTTACCAAACAAAAACACTAATTGTGAATTTAAAAAAATTGTGTTATACTTTAAATGTGAAACAAACATTTATGTGAACATCAATAATGCAATTATACTAAAAAAGGATTTGTATGCCCTTTCAATTTCATGACAATTAGTACAAGAATGTGCCAAGAACAAGACTATATACAAACTTCAATCTCTTTCTATAAGCTCACAAGTAAATAAATTTGAAGCAACGAGATCGTAAAATTTTAATAAACCATAATAAATTATACAAATTAATCTCTACAGATTACAAATTTTAAATAAATATCCTGAAGTACACAAAAATGCTGATATAGACAAATACATCCAAATACATGATTGTACTTACAAAAATTGATTTCTGTTTAAAAGAAAAACAAAAGTAGCAATTGATCAATCTAAATGAATAATAAGATAACCTCTAAGTGTGTCATTATATCAACAATTATGATGTCAACAATTTGTTCCATAATTTTTGTTCCATTATAGCATTTAGACCTGGATGAATAATAACTAAGAGTGCATACATCCCTTAGAGCATAGCATCTCCTTCAGTGGGTTGCAATCACACAGCCAGGTGTAATAGTGTAAACAGTTCTAACCAACTTCCAAAATAAAAAAATATACTGTTAATTGTATTATTACTTCAAATATGGTGTTAATATGACAATATTTATATAAACCTTTTACCAATGCTGAATTTTACTTACTGCGCTTTTATTTTCATAGAAAATGTTTCTTTTTTAGTGGATGTGTTGAAGCTAGACATTTTCACACTTGGCTATAAGCTGTAAAGACAGAGCAGAACAAAAATACTCTTCTAAACTAATCATTCATATGTGATTACATCACAATGTACAACGCTAATCCTAACCCTAGAATATAGAACTTTTCACATATAAGCTTATAAGTTATAGGCCTACATAAAATATTTAACTTTTTCTAAGCCGAAACTTATCTTGCGCTTTACTGAAAACGGCACATACCATACCATCGAAATTAAAAATATGGTGAATATTAGTATTACTGATACTATTTGCATTTTATTCTCTAGGATGTATTGTAATTCGCAACCTGATGTGGCCAATAGCTGACATATATTATAGCCACTGTAAGACTTCCTAACTCAAATCAGTTAGAGATGTGTACTATACCGAAAGAAATTCTCCTATTATTAGGGTTTAAATGATTATTACCAATCATATATACAAATTACAAAACTTAAGGCTCTACTTCTTTTAACCTCCCCTTAAGGTCTATATAGGTCTAAAGAGTGTGCTAAAACTGTCACAGACTGTTGGTTTAAAAAAAATTCAGACCGAAACCGGATACACTGCGCAAAACAGGTAATGCGCATCTCAATAGTCAGAGTTATCTCCCCTCTATCAAATTCCGTCCAAGCAAGAATATGCATCTTACCAAATTAATTAATGATGTGACATATAATATGACCTCAATGAAAACTATTCCCACACTTTTTTGTTCTCTTTTTTTTAACAAAATTTTGGTAATTTAGATCTATCCAATAGGCTACTCATACAAATTACAATTCAAATTAAAAAATTCAATTTCGAAAAACAAAATTATTTAACATTTTTTGCATCACAGTTGATAAACTAAATTATGAAGGTTATTTGACACAATCAGCTTCGCTCTACTCAGGCAACGCATGTTACATATTAATACATCGGGCTTTAATTTACCGTAGGTAGGCCTACTTTTAACACTTTTGACTTTTAGTTTGTAAAATTTGTCGCATTAATAATAATATTACGAAGTGGATATTTAACCGTATATGGCAAAGCATCTACTTCCGCTATTTTACCGTACATCGTTTCGGCGCAGAAGGACGATTTTACGGGAAAAACATAAACCACTGACAGTTTTAGTACTTAAATTAAAACCAAAATCTGCAGAAATTCACCCTCGACCAAAATAGAATAATATTCTAAATGCTTTTCTACAATTTACATTTATTATCTTATTTTATTTTAAAAATAATTCTCCAGTTTCTACCATAGAAATTCAAGTATGGCTATTTCGTTCCTTTATAAGGAACGGAAAAAGAAGCAATGTTAGGCAAAGAACGAATAGAACTGTTGGGTTTAGGGTTAGGTTTTGGGTTAGGTTTTGGGTTAGGGTTAGGGTTTGGGTTATGGTTTAATGTCAGACGCCAAAGCGAAAACTGCTAAGTCCAGGGGCCTGTTTCACGAAATTTTAACTAAGATATTAGTTTAGTAATTTTATTGGATAATATTAGATTGATTTTAGTGGTTAGCCAATCAAAATTGAAGTATCTACTAAAATTTGGAATTTATCTTTTGTTAATATTTCGTGAAACAGGCACCAGGTATCAGAGAACTGCGCATGTTAAACGGAAGCGTACGGCAAAATAGTAAATAAAGTAAAGTGCCGTAGGCCTATACGGTTAAATATCCACTGCCATAATATTAATAAAATAGGCAAGGCCTAGGCCTAATGATAATTCATGGGTAAAAAATGAAATTATTTTGTAGCCTGAGACCACACGTTGTCGGCATTTATTTTCCTCATTCACTGAATTCCTAATGTAAATATAATGAAGTACTAACGGTATTATTACTAATATTATTACTAATATTATTAGGCTACCGGTATTTATTCCATCAATCAATTCAATCATTAAGTTAGGCTAACTCATGAATTCCAGTTTCAATTTTTTACACCACATTTACCTGACAACGTTATACAGTTGATCCTTTAATGAACAAAGTCATTTAGAATATAATCTGCATTGATTCTACAAACCCTTACGTCTTTAGGATGCGAATTTTAATTACAGCATGGACAGTTCAGAAAGAAAACAAACAATATCGGCGTCCCCAGCAGCCAGGTAAACAAACCGTCCATGTTAGTTCTCGCGAGAGAAGCCGAGATATACCGTTAGTTTTTTTTTTACACTCGGCTCACCCCGTGGGTAAGAGGTGGTACTCTTCGGCAAGACGGATTACACAATAACTACCTAACCTTCAGTTTCAGTACCGTGGGCCATTAAATAGTCAGGACAATTTAACGAATATATTCAGAACGCAGCCTTTAGTCCGGAGCTTCCGGAATCGAATCTTTGTAACATTACAGAACTACCCAAAGAAATCCTACATAAGGTCCGCCCCTATCAATTTTAATTATGCATGCATTCTCGATTATGTCCTTAATGCACGTTTTGATACAATAAACATCATATCTGGGTCCGTATTCAAAGGTTTTCTTAAAGTTAAGTAAAAATACTTAATTTTTCCACTTAACCTAGTGTCTTAATTACCTTAAATCGGTATTCAAAGGCTCTATTTTACATATACTTGGCTATGTGAAAAACTTAACTGCACACTTAAAATATCCCATGGAATAGGCCTACCAACATTAGCCAAAAAGCATGAATTTTTAACTTATCGAATAACCTACACTGCCAAAAATCGCGAAATACTCACGTCGCACACAATTAGTTACGAGCATATGTCCCCCTAATACATGTAACACCACTATATACATGTACTCTATTAAAATCTTAGTTGCCATTACTTACTAGGAAAATATTTGTCGAAATACTATATTGTAACGCACGAAAATAGTATGACTATAATTTATGATAAATTATGATGGTACGCATCCGTTACAGAAACACCCGTTTTTGTGTAGATGTAGATGTTTTTCAAAAACAATGTATTTCAATAGCAGTTATCGAATAGTGGTAGTATAATGATGGATATTGTAAACTTTATTATAACGAATAAAAAATAACATATTAGCAATATGCAGGGCTATTGGCTTTAAAGTTAAACTGAACAAATCATTCGGTGTTGTTTATCAATCTATCGTTTGAGAAATTCATAGAAATTGTGTCATTTCCTAAACTTTAGAATCCCAAAGGCCTGGCCATGGAGGTACATTGTAAATCATTGGTGGCACACTTCGGTCAGCAGTCATATTTGCAAAATTATACAAACGAAGACAAGAACATGTAACAACAAAAACTTCAAATATGGTATATGGGAATGAAGTGTAAAAAATAAACCATGCTTTGCTTCTCGCGGCCGTATTAATATTTTCTAAAATCTACAATGGAATGTCATCGCAATGTCAAATTTACAAGTAAATTTAACGCATCAAACTTTATTGTATGAGTATGACAGTCGTGGCAAACATGATTGATTAAGCAATACGAACATAATGGGTTGGGTAAGAAATCACTAGGACAACATGCAAGTCTGTGACTGATTGAGAATGCGGGATTTAATCACCGTAGAAGGTATTGATTACCGAAACATATCACAAATATTTTATTTTTGAAATTATTGGGTGGGGGTGGGGGGGGGGGCAAACAGAGATCAGGCCAGATTTAAGGGAAGAAGGGCAAATGCACAACCTTGCCCCCCCACCCACCACACACACACACACACACACACACCCATTGGCGCCACCACTGCATGTGACTGGGCTAATGAAGACACGGGCATATAAACGATACAGGGCCTAAAATAGGGCTAAATTCTCGTAGCACGGAATCTCTGGGCGAGGCCGATGGGGGGGGGGGTCTGTAAAAACGGCATCTATGGACTATTCTGGAGCAGATAATACCGAAAATTCGTGAAAATTATCTCCCCCCCACCCCTCCCAAAAAAAATTCAAAGTGAAAGTGAAATGACGGTCATCGACGCAGCTGATCGGATACCAAGCCTACTGAAAAACAAGAGGAAACACTCATCAGGGGTCATGCTGAATCGCTACCTTACACGTTTTCAGAGCACTACGCCATTTTTTTTTTCAGAGCACGGTTTTCATATTTTCGAAACCCGGATTTTTCATTTCGAAGCACGTTCGTGCTCCAAGGTACGTTATTTTAGACCCGGGTGTGATATGAGGGAAATTCAGTCCGGACAAAGGCGCTGCAGCCTACTCTTATATCGGATTCCAACTACCAAGGGATTTTTTACGCCAATGTGTTCACGGGACTTCGGTTTTTCGTCCCATCGGAACGACTAGACAGCTGTCCTTGTCAGAGATGCTATGCCATGCTACAAGCAAGTTTTAACCTAAGGTTCTTCTACTCCGAGATTCGGATATTGGACATTCTAGTTCCAAGACAAGCAAAAATGAAGTGAAGCGGGGTTTAACGTCCTACTGTTCTGTCCCAGCTGGGCTAATGAAGACGGGCATCCGCCATACAATATGCTATGATGGTAATTTTGATCGGACTGCGGCGCTACGGCCTACTTTTGTATCAAATTCAAACTGCGGGCGGATCTTTTACGTGCACGCTAATGTGTACACTGGACCTCGGCTTTTCGTCCCATCCGACTGACTATACGACGTCCCTTGCCAGGCCCTCTGTTCTGCACCACTGACAAGGGGAAACCATGCCGGAAAATTTCGGTGATCTTTTTCGACCAACGCAGGGATCGAACACGGGACCTCCACGTCTCACCCACTGAGCCTCCGTGGTTTCCCCAGGATAAGACCCCCAATCACTCAAGTTACAGCAATAACACATCTTAACCAAAACGCAGTGCGATTGATTAAACTACAGAAAATGAAACAAAATCGCAAAAACCAGTATTTATTATCACTGAAATATTTTATCGAATGCAGATATACATGCCTAGAATCATACATATTATATCGCGATGTTTTAGTCAGTGAAAATCAAATAAATTATTCTGTACAAAACTTCAACATTCTAAATTTAGAAAAATATCAATTTAGACAACTGGGTAGACGCCGTTGTAACTGGAGACGCTTCTGGTGTTTCTGGTGTATACGAAGTTACGGACGACTTGTCGGAAGGGGGGTGTTTGTCCGGTGAAGGTGATGCAAGGGTATCCGTCAGTGCAACAGTCAGAACAGACTCGGACCTCATAGGGTAAGTCCCTAAAGGTACCAACGAATCCTGGTTCAGCGACATCGGTTCTGGTGGAGGTGGTGGTAATGGTTCTGACTTGTTGGAGAGGGAAGAGTCGGAAGTCAGCCAAAGCGTTTTGGTAGGAACCGGTTCGGAAGAAGGTTCTTGTAACGACACCATCAGCTGGTCGGACGATGGGTCCGGGATAGAAGCTGTTGAAAAATCTGGAGATTGGTAATCTGTAGATGTTTAGTCTCAAATCTTCAGGGTAGTAAGAGCTGTATCGGGAAGTGTAACCAAAGGTATTGGGGAAATATTGGTAATTAGATCGTTGAAATCCCAAACCCAATCCCAAATAATCAACGGAAGGTCCCCAAGGGTTTAAAGAAGGATATGCTCTGTACACAGCCTGTCTCTTTGTTCTAGCTCCAGTGTCGTCAGTTGTTTTTGTGTTAGCATCTGAAAGCAAAGCATTCGACATTAATCAAGACATTCCTTATCCCGAGATGCGGATATTATAACAGAATAGTTTGCTGTTTATCCTAAATTCTCCTGACATGATAAAAACCAATGAATTTTAAACATGAGCATTACATTCTATAAGTTCTTATATTTTCCCGTTTGTTGATTTTAGATATAAATATATTTACGTGTTCAAACATCTTGGATTTTACAAAATACGGTATAAATAGTATTTAAATCTTGCTTCTGAAACTTGTGAATTTATACTTTAATGTGCTTAAAGCAGGGGGTCTTACGAAGAATTAAACTATCTTTCGTGTTTCTTTTTTCGCATTTTTTGGTAGTTTAAATTTACACTACACAACAATCTTACGGCACATTTAAAAATTGTATGCCCAACTGGCACGACATCTCATCTAGCCAACGATGAGATGCCATGACTTGGGCAATTTGATTTTATCCCAACAGGCGGCAGTAATTACTATAGCCAACAGATATTAAAACGGAACGCAAATAAAGATTTGATTTTAATTGATGCGTAGATTCGAGCATTACGTAAGATCAATTTCTGTGTTACAATAAATCCCAATGTAATTTGTAGTCTAAATATTAAAAATGATGTAGGCTAACTTACTTGATTCTTGGGTAAGTAGTGCTCTGAAGGTGACTTCACACAAAGTATCTTCTACTGTTTCCGTTGCCTGGTTGTCTGTTTGATCAGCGGCAAAAGCTACCACCACACACAATCCGAGCAGGGCCCAGCTTAAGACATTGGATTGTCTCATGATGAGGAGTATGGAATATTTTAACCTTACCGAACGGGTTCCTTTAACACACACTGGAAGGCTGGCTCTAGGAACGGGGTTTTATAGTAGCCGATCTTCGAACACACCCAGCCATATCATATAACGTTGTATGTTCAGGATGGGTTTGGTGTTGGTTTAAGTGTTACATTTAACAAATAATTGCTTGTTAAGGTTTGACCCTCTCCAGAATCTTCAATGACTTTCTTAGTCAAGCTTGATGCAACAGATCACGCGTTACCTTGTATTTGTGTACATAAAAAGCTGAATTGGTACCAAATAGTGTGGAAACTGTCGAATTAGCATATTTACCAGAATCTATTAAATGTATTGTTTTTGGTAAATTTTGAGTTTTTAGCTCTTTGACCTTTTCTTGGCTATTTTCAGAATAATCGTAGGCCGAGGGAATTTGTTCTGTTGGATAATTGCTAGGACATGGAATTGATAATGAGAATATCCAAGTATTAGATACGTGCGCAAGTTAAAGAATTCTTTCCTCACAAAATCTCACAAAATTTGTGCCAACACCAGCCCAGATGAGATTTCAATGATGACGAAATCTTTCTTACTTTGATACCCATATCGAAAACAAGAATATTTGTATACGCACAGATTTTATGTCGTCTCATTTCTTGCAAAAAAAAATTGGCATAAGGATAAACCACTGAAAAGTTACAAATATCCGCGAGTTGTTGCTCTTGCCTTGCAAAACTGAATAACGATAAACCCTTTCAAAAATCGGCGCAAT